GGGTGTGTGGGTGGGGGTGGGGATGTGGTTGAGTGTGAGCTGAATATATTTATGCCGTTATGCCTGGGTCAGGTGTGTGGGTAATAACTTGCCACAGACACACACACACACAATGGTCTGCAATTGTGTTCCTTTTCATTGCTGTTGTTGTTGTTGCTGTTGTGTTCTCGCATACACTTAAATCAGCATAATGATATGCACTTATTTTTCGTCGAGCAAATTGCTAACGGAAATGCTGTGAAAAACCACACAACACGAAGCTACAACAACAGGAAGAGCAACCACAACAACAAGCCGCTGTCAATTTCTTCATTTGCCTAATACGACGACGGGCGCCATCATTAATATAAAATATAGCACGACATATGCACGCACGCAAAAGGGAAAGCAGAAAACAGAAGCAGAAACAGCAACAGAAACAGCAACAGAAACAGAAGCAGTTGGATAGGTAAGGAAAGGAAACAACATGAAAGGATGCGGAGGGGGGCGACGAGACGCGGGAAGGCAAGGCATGGCAAGGCTTGGCGTAGCGAAGCGAAGCAACATGCCTGTAATTATGCTCAGACAAAGCCACATAGCGAACCACACACACACACAGACACACATATGTGTGTGTGCGTGTGAACGACACTTGCCTGCCATTTACGCAAAGCCTTGTTAATCGTGACAAAAGCTTATTGCGGGTTATTTGGACTACTTGTTTCGCATTTGCCGGCAAACGAAAATCAGCACATCCGTGAGCATCGCATGACTACACACACACACACACACACACACACACACACACACACACTCGCAAACACACACATACGGTTTATATGGTATGTCAGGCCATCTGCAATTTATACACTCGCTGCTATTAGTATTTACATATGTATAGGCCAGAGTGTCATCATTTGAACGCCATACATATGTATATCTTATAAACTGCGTCATTATATTACCTCTTTAATAGGCCTCGTTAAAGAGCCCATCAAAGAAACTTCCTTAAACATATTAATTATAGTGCTGTCGCAGAGTATTGGGGGGAGTGTCTCAGCGAGAAAGTTTGGCAAGCATGTGAGTATTTACCATACCCGAGCAATTTCCGCGACAAATCAATAAAATTAAATTAAATTTGATCAACAAAATTAAAGGCGTGTTGAAGCTTCAAATTAAAGTATAAAAAGACATAAGAGTTCAGCTCATGTCTGAAATGCCAAAAATTTAATGTCAAACTATAATTGAAATTTTATTTATAATTTTCATGCAAACTCTTTTAGCTTAATGAACAAGTTTAAAAACGTCGCCACAAACCAACAAGTTGTGATTAAAATCATATATCAATGCAAATATAGCATCGCATTCCATCATGTCTAATTAGCAGCTACATTATTACATCCGGAAATATTTCTACACATACGACAACAAAATCAGTTTAGTTACCTGAGAGCGAAGAGGCATCATCAAGTTTATTTTGTGTGGCAGGTATTTCGTATGAGCAATTAAGATGGTTTATTTTTTGAATTTAAACATTTTGTGATTGATTAGCAAAAGTTTTCATTATAAAATAGTAGTAGAATTTTCAAGAATTTAAATTAATTTATTATCATTTTTATCTTTTGTTAGTGCTGCCTGTAGATTATATTTATATCTTTTAAGTCAACATGAAACAAATGCTCTGCGCACTTATTTTAAATATTAAAAGCAGCATTTCAAGCTAGAAAAGTCATTTTACATTTAATTATAGTGCACGATTTGTGGGCGTTTCTCAGCGGAAAAACAAATGCGTGGCTTAAAAGGGAAATTAAGTATAGTGCATGTGAACAATATGAGTTGCCCTACTTCTGATAAATCAATTAAATTCAATTACTAAACAAAATGAGCTGGAAATGGTTCAAGAAACTGTATTAGTAAAATGTTTACAAATAAATTTAAATGTCAAAAAGTATTTTCTTTTATTTTTGGGATCCAATGGGGTGTATATTCTTTGATAGAAGTAGCTAAGAAGTTAATTTCCCAAATAATTTAAAATCATATGTATTAGGAAAATGCTTTGTAGAGTTAAAAAAAAGTTATGGAAAAGAAAAACAACACGCTTCGAGTACTTCTTTGCATTTTTCGAAATGACTTCCATCTTTGCACAAAAAATAAATTGTTGTACTTAATTCTCAGTGTTATTATGAGCTTAAAATGATTAATAATATAATGGTGGTACAAAAAATAATAGATAGATGGAATTTATAATAAAATTTAAATTGAAAATAATGAAAAATTTGAAAGTATTGAAAGTAGAAAAATGCAACAACTTGTGAGTTAGCTGGCGAATCGATCGCAATTAACATACTTATCACATCTAATGTGCATTAGATTACGTATACGAGTACACATGTGTGTGCGTGCGTGTGTGTGTGTGTGTGTATGAGCAGAGCTCTTAGTTAGGGAGGGCTCTGTCATCTAAGCGCGCCCGTCACTTGCACACATAATAAACATTTTAAACATTATTCTCGTGTTTAGCAACTCCTTTCGTTCGTTTGTTTATACGCATGTTGTTGTTGTTGTTGTTGTTGTTCTTGTTCCTATTGCTCTTGCTGCTGTTGTTGTTTGTGTTGTTGTTATTGCTTGTGATGCTACTGCTACTGCTGCTGTGCGTCGTTCGTTTTCAGAAAATTTACGGGTTTTAACGAATAATGGCGCATGTGGGAAATGAACGTTTTGTGTTTCGCTTTTGCTTGTCATCGCATCACGCCGAACACTCGCATTCGTGGCCAGAAGCATTGCCAATGCCAGTGCCAGTGCCAGAGCCAGAGCCAGAATTAGAGCCAAAGAGCTTGCCGGCATTCCAAAACATTCGCCACTTTATCAGCATTTTACTTTAGCTGTTATTACCGCACTCACCCGCACTCGCACTTACACTCCCCCTCTGGCTATCTCTCTCACGCAAATACATTAACGCGCACACACACGCACACTCCCCTGTAGTACTTTAAGGATCAGTTGGCATTAGAACCGGCATTGCCGTCGGTCCCTACGGCTCAACCCATCGTCGACGCAAAGCAGTAGGGACATTGCCTGCGATCGATGAGACGCAAGCCGAAAAGCTTAGCAAAGCTGCTGAATTGGAAAATAAATAAAGCAAAAATTGTTCCTTGAATATATAAAATTCTATTAAATTTGTGATCAGGGACTTAGAATTTTAAGTTCTAATTCAATTAAAGCAGCCATAAACTTGGAATCGCTTTCAAAGCTAATTTTGAATCGTTTTCATTCCGATTCAATAAAAGCTGTTTTAAGTATTACGTTTTATTAAATTTGTATTCAAAGATCTATAGTTGTATGTTCTAATGAAGTTCGTGTAGTAAGGCAACTACCGAGTTTTCGGAAATACTGTTTTGAACCCGATCGTGTTTTGCTTTCGTTGGTTGTACAACCAAGAAGTTATAAACAAACAAACATTAAATTATACATAGATTGAAATATAACGAATTTCTGGAAAAAAGTCCCTGTTATGATGATCAAATTACGAACCACTTTATATTCCACTGATGCAAAATCAAAGCTTGTACAACGAAATAGTTATATATTAGCTAACCATTTTGTTTCGGAGTAAAAGAGTATAATACGAATATTCGGATTCGCCATCAGAAAAGAAAAATCAATTCCTTAGATTTGAACATTTTTAGGAAACATTTTTTGAAATAGTTACATAAAAAAATCACAAAAATAACGCCTCCTTCCACCAGCAACTGGTGGAGCCTTATCCAGTGACATGCCCATTAAAATACATTCGTTTGGGTTAACTACTGGGTCAACTACTGGCGAGGGGGGCTGACACCCGTTACTGCAGGGGTTGTTGACAACGTTTAAGTGTGGGTGCGTGAGTGCAGATGTGCGTTGCGCCTCCATTTCGGCTCTCCAAGGAAATTAAAAAACAACTAAAACAAATTAACAATGTAATGGTAAAATCTTATGTGCTTGCGCAGCTGAAAAGCACACGAAACACACAACCACACACACATACCTAACGGGTGGAGAACAACACAAGAGTAACAAACAAATGAGAGGCTGCGCCTCTACCTTCAGCATTAAATCCAAGCATTTATGGCTCACATGGCCAGAACGTGTTGGCCAGAACGTTTAGACCAACACTCACACATAAATAAGACCGCAGGCTTCATGTTAAGCTCATACACACACACACACAAACACACGACAATTTGCACTTGCAAACGTCTCTCTAATGTAAATGCTGATGATGATGATAGATTTTGGTAAACACTGAAATTTTCCCATTCAAATTTTATTGCTGCCAATCACAGTGCCTTCCTGTCCTTCTCTCAGTCTCTCAGTTTGCGTGTCGCCCTCATCGCCCTAGTATAAATACGTACATTGCTCAAATTGCATTAATATATCAAGGACGCGCCGCCTACTTGCTGTTGAGCCAAATTTGAATTGAAATCGATTGTTATTTGTATTGGGCATATACGGCTGCCGCACTTAAGCCATTTAAGTTGTGCGTGCCTTCATTTAATGCAAGCGCAGCTGAATATCGTTTGTTATCAAATTAAATCAATTCAAAAATTGGCCATTACCGCCCAACCACCCACTGCCAGATGCCACATGCCGCCCACACAAAATGGCCATTCAAAGCTTTCCATTTGGCGCCCCTGAATTTCAAAAACAGTGCTACCATACAGCAGCTTTAATACTACATTGGTTCTTTTTGCAGCATTTAAGCTGTGCTATGAAATTATTTGAATTTTTATGTAATTTAATAAAATTTATTTAGTAATTTCAAGAGATTTTTTTTACAAATATAATCTGGCCAAGCGGAGCTTTCAATTTAGCGCGCCACTTCATTTTAAAAACAGTGCTGCCATATCACCACTTTAATACCACATTTGATATTTTCTTGGGCCGCACTCAGCTGGCATTTAAGCTTTCTCCGTGCTACGGTCTCTCTACAAATAAAGAGCTGGCGAACCACACACAACAAACGCTTTTGACAACAACAACGAAATTTTGGACCAATTTCTTGAATTAGAACATAAACAGTGTGTGGTTACAATTATAATTGCCAAAATAAATAAAACTAAGCTATAAAACTACAATGTTTATAAGCGCAGCAAAGTTTGGCCAACAATAACAAAAAACTGCACTTTCTCTTGGCAAAAAAACAACACGAAACTAAAATAAATTATAACAACAAAAAGTTGTAGTGCGGCTTTTTTGACATCTATTCGAATCAATAGAAAGACTCTGAGTGCGTGTGTGTAAGTGTGTTGTTAGCCGACTGCCGACCAGGCATGCTACGAATTGTATGAGGTATGCCATTAGACTGAATCTTTTCGACTCTCACTGCGAAGATACGCACATACGTCACAATAAGCTTAGACGCGTAACCAGAATTTAAATATGATGTCGTTTGTATTTTGTCGATCAGTTGAGTTCAAAAATGTCACATTTTAATCTTGTTTAGAAGCAAGAAAAGCAATCAACTAGTCTTTTCGACACATTCACCAGGTAATTTCAGCTAGTGATTGGTAATGTCAACCGAAATAAAAGTGTGATCACTTCGTTTGTTATTGCTGTTTTGTCTGTCAGTTGTGAAATAAAGTTAACTTAATATCAAAGACAGTAGTTTCTTTGTCGAAATCACCAATCATTCATCGAAATTTCTGACATTAGAGCTCATGAGAGCAAACAAATTACATGCCAGTCAGAGGGAGAGAGACAGAGTGTGCCTAGCGAGTGCTGATTGTGACGTCATGCTCAAGAGAACAACGAATAACGAACCTGGGCAATGGCATACCTCATATGTTTGTATCGCGCTGAACACCTGTGTGTAAACAGCAACAACAAAAAGTTGATTGCCTGCATTGTTGTTGTCACCGTTGCTGCTGTTGTTGTTGTTGTTATTGTTATTGCTGTCTTATTGGCGCGACAGCTTACAATGGAAAAGCAGTCACATCTCAGCCACTCTTGCGCTCGGGTTTCCGTTTTCGCTAGCAACAAAACAAAAACAAATCGCTGACAACAACAACAAAAACGGCAAGGTGTAAAAAAAAAAACGATAACGCATAAAGAATTTGTAATTTGCATTTTCTTTAAACACACACACACAGACAAATATTAATCGACAATTATATTTATTTTGAAGTTAAATTGGCAACTCTTGGGCTCGCCAGCAAAATAAATAACCAAACAAATTTTTAAATCGCTAACGCTTAGGGAATTTGTAATTTGCATAAAGTAAATACACACACACACACACACCTACAAATATACATATGTATATAAAGCCCATGTATGTGTGTGCATAGCCGTCGAGCATGTTTATCACCAATTTAAGTTATTTGAACGCCATTTCACATACCAGACACAACGGAGGCGGACTTTTGTCTTAGAGCTGTAAGTGTAATTGGCATAGTTTTTGATTTGATTTATTTTTTTCATACAACTGTGTACGCACAATTCTGCTTTCACATTATTAGAGTGCGGTTGGCAATAAATGGGAGCAAGCTAATTATATGTATCGTCGCTGCATTTGGAAAACTGAAACATCATGTCTTCGATTGAGGAGAAAGTACGACGCATACTGAATAGTCAAGATCTGGGCGATATAACTACAGAACTGTGCGACTTTACGCTCAAAGAGCAAAACGCCACAGCCGAGGCGCAGGGAGTGCAGCCATCAGCTACATCTGATTTCTTACCCATATTGGGACAAAGTGTTACGTACATTGTGGCCTGTGTGCTCATCAATCAAGAGCATGAGGTTCTAATGATCGAGGAGGCCAAACAAAGCTGTGCAGGTAAGTACAATCCCATACATCTACACTGATGATCACATCAATAGGTGCGGCAGTATTTTATTTCATAATAAGAACACGCTAAAGATCTTCAATTCTAATGAGTTGAAGTATTTTGAAATTCTAAAACGGTCCACATGTTCATCACAAAACGAGTTCTTTAATGCAAATAAAACCTTAATCTGTTCATAAATAAAAAAAACCTCTAAAAAGTTAGTAGGGCTAGAGTTCCTATGGATGGGTAGGTCGTGTACCTATTGAAGTGATCGTCATTGTATGATTCATATGTGTACACACATAGTACATATGTTATTCTTCTGACAAATCTTGGCCACAACTTGTTCTCTTGGTTTACAGGCAAGTGGTATTTACCCGCTGGTCGGATGGAGCGGGGCGAGACGATATGCGAGGCCGCTGCACGCGAAGTGTTCGAAGAAACGGGTCTGAATGCCGAGATGACAACATTGCTGGCCGTCGAGACGGCTGGCGGCTCATGGTTTCGTTTCGTGCTCACCGGTCGCATAACGGGCGGGAGACTGAAGACGCCCGCCGATGCCGATGCCGAGTCCATACAGGCCCGTTGGGTGCGTAATCTGAACGAAGTGCCGTTGCGTGCCAACGACATACTGAACATCATCGATATCGGACGCGCCTACTACCAGAATGCGCTGGCCAGCGGCGAGGAGGCGGCCAAAAGACAGTTGTTGTGCCACGGGAATGTGCTGCCCACACGCTACCCACACAAACGCAACTATTTGCGGGTGCTGGCCGTGGTCCGGAAACGTGCCACCAACTCGATGAACATTTTAATAAGCGAGAAGAACGCCCACCACTTTCCCACAGTGGAGCTGCATCCGAATCGGAGTCTACACTCGACGCTGCGCAAGTTCATGATTGAGATTTTCGGTGCCGAGCTCCCACAGCACCGCCCACATGGAGTTCTTAGTCTGGAGCACAACACAACTGAACACGAGAGCACCGATGGTATTTGTCTCAATGTCCTCGTCGCCTTTCGACCGCCCCTCGAGGAGGTCTCCATAATTGGTAAATGTATTTGGCATGAGCTGTCGGCGCCACTCGAGGAGACGCTCGGACGCATATTGAGCAGCAAAAATGCCACAATACCCTTGAATGTGGTGCGTTAGTTCCCCCCGTCCCCCTTCCCTCTTAGGTTTAGTTCAATCTCACAATGGTGCAAGCATTATACAAATTTGTAGTTACAATTGGATAACGAGTGACCGAGTTAAATAAAATACGGACACCTTAAAATATACTACATCGTTGTTGTCGAATCGTTCGTTGATCATTATTTATCAATGTGAAGGGTAAGTTAAGCAATCATCAACAAGTTTCAAACCATTTCTAATATTTAAAAATTGATCGCATCTTTGATATTCTTTTGATCTCATTGAAATGTGTTCCACTACCATTTAAACTCATAGAAAAGAAAGAAAACCTTAAAGATTGAGCGCTGATTGAACTTCAGCGATCTTCGATATTCTTCGAGTATATTGATTATTCGAGTTTTCCAGACACTTTCTATTAAGAACTAGTAGTAGAGTAGATAATCCCAAAAAGAATAAAAACCTTATAGGCCACTTTTTTGTGCGTTCTTTTATATTAGACTACTATTTGTAAATATAATTAGCCAGATCAGCAGTTTAAATTCTATTTATAAAAATTAAATAAAACCCCAAGCACTGTTCCTTCAGTGATCTTTAAAGCTTTTCTATTTGTCTTCTGAATGCAGTGGATCTTTAATTATAATCCAAATATTACTGATCTTCATGTATAAATATATACTGTAACTTAGCTTTACTTACTAATTTCTTTTAATTATTTTTACTTACTAAAAAATATTCACAATTTCCCACTTTTTGTTTGAGATAATAGTAGTAGTTGTAGCATTGAATATTGCTAACATCGACATTCGATTCGAATAACTTAACAATGATAAATCAAATGGAAAAGAAACCTTAGACTAGAAAATCTGAACTCACTGATCAATGATAGAAGATTCTCATATCCAAGGTCATTTAATTGTTAAAAAATTACCAAGTTTTCTCAAGTAATTATGAAAATATATAAAAGTTTTTAAATTGCAGACAAAATTACTTACCTGATTTTCACTCGAAGTACTGAATTGTATTTATCGAATTCAATTTTGAAAGCAATTGATTTAATTCTCTGAATGATCGCCGAAAAATAATGAAACAAATAATGGCAAGGAGAGATCTCGTTTTCAAATGATAATGTATGTTGATGGAATCCTAAAAATTGTGGAAAATAGAATTACTATTTAATTTAAATTATGGACAGACACCAATAAGGTATGAGTGAAGCTTCAGAGAAGCTTGATGGTCTAATGAATAGGAGCTGATATTAATCATAATTATATTTGGATACCAACATTTCTTTTGATTTTCAAGTAGGCAACCAAATACAATATTGGTGTTTTTGAAAATGTTTGATTTCAGCTTAAAACGGAAATTAAACCTTTTCTAGTTTAAGAATAAATTCCAGGAAAATTACAGAAATTCAATTTTCGTAGAAACACATTTAAATTCGTTCATTAGTTGTACAATTATGAAAAACTATTAAGAATAAAAAGAAAATCGGATATGCGAATGGATTATATAAAAAAGTAATGAAATGTTTAAATCAATGGGCATATTTCGGAATCAAATGTGCCCATCGATTACGACAAATACAATCCACAATCCACCAATAGAACTTACGTTTGTGGATTTCAATTCATATATCTATGGAGATGCAAGACTCATTTGTAAATTCGTAAAATGTTTACAAGTTTTATTTATGGGATTTATCGAAATCTCGAATCCGTTATTTACAATTCGGTCTGTCCAAGCAATTACTCGTAAATGCAACCAAATGCTCTATAAGTTTACGTTCGTACTCAATTAACGTAACTAACAAAATGCTAAGTGGAATATTATGGTAGTACCGCGATCATCGATCTTAACACGTGACTAGGTCAGCTAAAGAATTAACATGCATGTAGTTAGGATTACATACTAGATTGCTAGATCTGTGGTCTCTCACAGCCTCTCCTAGTCCTTCCACAACTTGTTAAAGAGATCCATGAACGAGTCGTAGATCATGAAGGTGATCGCCACATCGAGACAAACGCGTCCCAGACGCGGCACAGTGCCCTTGTAGAAGGCACCGAGTCCTTCGTTGCGCAATATTTGGAGCGCACAGTCGGCAGTATTCTTATATTTGGCAGCCTCGAGACCCTGCATGCGGGTCTTCACCACATCCAATGGGGTGTTGCCGAAGACTGAGGCCGCACCGGCAATGGCACCAAAGGCACCCACCACCAGCTTGGGCACCTGCTTGTTGCGATCATCGCCCTTGTAGAGATCCTTCAAGGACTCCATGACGAAGAAGCGTATGGCCTGATTAGAGCCCTGCTTCAATATGGTCGGCGTCAGACCCTTATAGATGCCACCAATACCCTCGGCCTTGATAATTTGGCCGACACCGTGAGCGAAACCCTTGAATTTTGGATTCGCACTGCGCTGATCGTTGATGAACTTCACCTTAATCGTCTCCATGGGAGTGACGGCCAAAATAGCCTCACAGACGCCTGCGCCTAGACCGCACAACAGCTTGCCGGCATTGCTCAGCTGGCCCCTCTCGTCCACGGCGTGCACGCGCAGATATTCAAAGGCGCCGAATCTGTCAAAAAAAATGGCATTAGATCAGCTTAGTTTATGGGCTATGCTTGGTGGGGACTTACCTGGCAGCCGACTTGGGTATGCTGCCATAAAGCAAGACGCTCAAGCCTCTATATAGTCCGAAGAAGCCACGTTGCTGCACCGTCTTCTTTACACAATCGGCAATGCCGTTATAGCGCTTATTGGCACCCTTCTCATCCAGCTGGAGCTGTGTCTTCACATACTCGGTGGGATATGTAATGCAGATTTCTATGCCGCCCGTTATGCCGCCCGCAATAATACCCTTCACACCCTTGCCACCCCCGCTAGGTGCAGCCGCACCGCTGCTTGTCATCCAGGGGCGGCATTTGTAGGGACTCACGAATGTGGCTAAGCTCTGACGATCCATGCTCGGCATAAGCTAAACTATATACTTGTATGAAAACTGAAAGAACGAAATGAAGAAATCATTAAAGAACAGGGCATTATACTATATGTTTATAGTATTAATTATAAGTAGCTTCTTATTTTCAGATTCTGAACAAATATATTCCTAACAATAACACAAGAAATTTGAATAATACAAAAAGATTGACTAAATCTGCGCCCAGACAGCCAAATCATTTGCTCACTTATAGAGACTTATAGAGTCTCGCAAGTAGCAGGTCATGAATAAAATGTTACTTCATTAAAAACCATTAAGGTTTCTATACTTGCATATGTATTGTTTTGTGCAACAATAAACTTCTTCGAAGCTTACATATCAAAGCCTACTAAAAAGATAATTCAAATTTGCATGAAAACTATTTGCAAGTCTGACCGCAAGGCAAGTACCTCGACAGATGAAAATATTAAAGATAATGAGTGACTAAAACAGACTGATTTAGGTGATAAAAACTGGAACTGTCAAAAAAATGATTGAAATTTGTATTTCATTAACCTTAAAAAGCGCTTATCCCATTTGAATTGTGTAAGATCTAATTGCAATATAATATTAGTATAATAGTGATCTCAAGCAGTTGCTTCGATATTTAAATATTATAGACAATTAATGACTCAAACAAACAGTTGTTATTCAATAGTTGATCGTTTATAAAACATGTGAAGATCCAATTGTTAATCACAAAATGTCATTTCATGATCAAAAGTCGTGCAAAGACACTTGATACTGAACGATAGCATTCGAAGTTGCTTCGATAGATTTTCATTTAAAAGCTCAATGGTGATGGATTAGAGATAAACTCAAGTGAAATGCTGTGAAAATATTCAAAATCTCATTCAATGAATGAACTAAACTGAAATGTCCATTCTAGCTATAGATGTTTGTTGCTACCGATACGAACATTTCACCTTGAATCCAAAGTTCACGGCATATTGTCTGGCCAACAACATGTATGTACATAAGTACAAATGTACATATGTGTGTCTATATATTTAGTGAGTGCTTTTAAACTAACGAAAGATCGCATGATAATGAGCATTTAAGTTTTGTCACGCTGCCTTGTCTGGCAAGCATTTGTGAAAAACTGTCATTATCAGTGACATATTATGCATTATCTGTAGAAACTGAACTATTCTTCATAATTTCACAAGGTGTTCAGATAAAGGTACCTGAGGTTATGCATATTTGAGTCCAAAACCTCATTAGAGTCTAATACAAGAGCTGCATATTATCAGTATTTGCTCTTTGCACTTGAAAAGAATTGCGATTTGAAACGATTATATAACATTTATTTTTTCATGGTCTACAATTTATTTATATTTATTGTAAAGTTTTGACAAAATTCGTGATATCGAATATGATTTGGATAAACACAACATAAACAAAACTACGATAAATTGGCGCTGGAAGTGTGCAAATACATACAAACATAGATATGTATGTATGTAGTATATGTAAAATACTATAAACATATATATTCTACAAGTATATACCACTTTTTAGCACCCGTACGCTTTCTATAATCGGTCTACCTTCTTTTCAACAATATTTACTGTTGAAATTAATGTAAATATTTAACTGGAGCAATGTTACTCACGTTATAAACGCAAAAATAAATGTTTAAAGTGCCGTATCTCTTGAAATGAATTAATTGGAATGCGACAACAGCGAACGCGCGACGGTCGGTTTGGGGACGGGCGATCGTGGCCAAGGCAGCGGCTCAACTAGTGGATCGGTCGCAGCACCATAAAAAATTCCAATTTCCAATCAAGCAACAACAAACAAGCTGCAAAAATATGAGCAAACTTGTAAACAACTCACTGCCCGCTCCGTTCTCTCTAGACAAATGGTTAGAAAAGCTAACCAATGCGCGTCATAAATGAGTGTCAAAAAAATTTGCCGGCAAAAGCCACAGAGAGTCTCTCCCCTCCCAACCGTCCAACTTGCTCTATTGTAGGAATTTATGCCGCAATACTGGAATTACTGCTAAGGCAGCAACAAATACTGGCAAATGATCGGACCAGCCAGCCGGCCCTGCGGTCGTTGCTCTCCGCTCTCTCACAAGCCAAACCAGTTTGACATTGGAAAGCTTTGGCTGGAAAAAGCTTAACCAAACTTACAAATTCAAAAATTTGAAGCTTTGCGTAAAATACGTTACTGCTGAGCCTAAAATTAGACTAGCATTTCGAAAAAAAAAGACAAATCGAAGGCATAGAATTATTATTGTTATGCTTTTTTTTTAGACAATACAAAGAACAACTTTTGAACATACATATCGAAAAAATATATATGACATAATACATATCTGTAAACACTACCTGTTGCTTGTAGGCTTACAAATGTATCGTTCTGGGTTCTTAAATGGAGTTTAAGAAATCGGTTTTTCAGTTTCGGGACATTTCTTTCTTCTTTTTCTATTAAAAAACCCCCCATAATTATGCGATTCTTCAATATTGGATCATTAATTAAGGTTGAAAATCACCCCCCTAGCAACATTCCCCCTCCTAACGCTTCTCTTTTAAGACCCAAAATCTCATCTAAAAGGTCAAATGAACTGTCAAGGTCTTAAAGCAATCTTACGAATAGGAATACGACGAAAAGCTATAAATAATAATCCTAATTAAACTTCCTTGAGCGACGGAATAATTTCAGGCAGACGAGCTCATAGTTTATGACTCATTTACAGTGTGGAAATATACTTCCTAGATATCAGAAAACAATTGTACGTCATTTTAAATCTCTGTTGAGAAGAGAATTCGTGAAATACGCCTCAAAAGAGTTTTTGGGTACAATTTGCAATATATAGTCCCGAACAAATCTAAAATTTAACAGCTAAGTAAATATTTAGAAGGAATGTATGAGGATCTGCTCGTTGGACTGCCAACTTGTTTTAATTAACAAACATGCGTTACATAACACTATCGTTCTTTTGATGAAAAGTGAATGTTATACCTTTAAGGTTTGGCCTTCCACATTTCAATGCCCATCACTGTACTATTATATGAGAATGTGTTTTTATATAAATGCTATATTTGTGTGCGTGTAGCAAAAATCAGACTATTTTTCTGGCCCACTACACCACTTAACACTCAGCACTCAACCGAATCGATATTGTCAACATTTATAATACAGCAGCATGCCGAAGAAATTAACAATTTACTAACTTTTCAATCAGCAGTTATGGGAATTTTAACACTCGGACCGGCAAAGCACGAATGCCAACTAACCAGCCAAATGCCCTTCACTGAGCAAATGCTGCCTTCCCACCTTGTTTGTGGAAAAGGGAGGTAAGGAAGGTGTCCTCTGTTGTCAGCTGAGTTTCAAGTGCGCATGCCCCGGCCTTACCACCCACTATACACCCACACGAATGGTTTATTGAGTCACCTATTTATGTGCAGACATGTGTCAAGAATCGTAGCTACACTCAGAAAAATAGAATATAAATAAAAGATACAAAAATACAAAGTAAAGCATATATAGCGTGAATATAGTACCAATGTTTATAGCACGAAATTATAAAAAAAAAAAATATGCTTAAAATCTACAATTTTCAATTGAAAAGAAAAGTGAACCCAAGATTTTAACATCTCAAGACCTTTTTACTTGTACCCCAAAACCTTTTTGAGATACTTGCATCTCAAGACCTTTTTGTGTAACAACAAATTACTTGTACCCCAAAACCTTTTTGCAATAACAGAACCCAACTATTTAACGGCGAAGGTACTTGATTTAGGTCTAAGTGTACGCATAAATACGTATTATCGAGAAGTAAGTAATTGAAACATGCTGGCTGGTTGGTAGTTCTAAATTTTAGTTTTATTCAAAGGCATTTTGAAAAAGTTTCATTGTTAAATTAACATTAAGAGTTAAAGTGCGTTTTTGTTTGTTTGTTAATCAATAACAATAATAGTTGTAGAACAACTTAGTTTGTTTGTTTGTTTAATGCAAAGTTAATATATTGAACTAAATTCATGTTCAGTCGTGTGTGTGGATGTGCGATTGGAGTGGAGTGGAGTCTCGCGTTGGCCCTAAACCGATTTGTAGACGCGCACGGACTTCACGTTGCCAATGGTAAGGGTCTGCGGAGAGAAGGGGGACGTGTAGAGCGTTAATTATATCACACATATTCGTACTGATTGTGGCAATCAGAAACCACTTACAGTTATCAGCTCGCTGTCGTTGAACTCGCGTACAATGGTCGACGGCTTATCGCCCTTCTGCTCCTGCGTCAGTTTGTTGCCATCGAGCGTAATGATGCTCTTCACCTTGCGACCATCCAGGGTCTCCTCGTCGAACTCCTCGCCCAGCTTGAACGAAATGGCGGACGTCTTGAAGGTTGAGGTTGTGGTGAAGGTATAAGTATCACCATCCTGGGTCAGCTCCACAGTGGGACTGACACTGTTACCCATTTTGCGCAGCACCATGCCAACGCCTGTAAATCAATGTGACAAATAATACGTACACTTGAGGTCAGAAAGTTCAAATATTAGTCTGAATTGAGGCTTGCTTGCTGGAATCGTACTGCAGATAGGCACCATAATGAGAGCATTCATGAATATGAGAGGAACTTTTAACACAAAGTCTTTCCTATTAAACTCGATTTATCAATTGATTATTTTCTTTGGAAAGATTGAATATATGTAATGGTAATCGCGATTTTCCCTCACTAGCGGATCGAATTTCTCGCACAACGTACAACTTTTAGACGCATTTCATTTTCCTAGTGCGTTGATTACCAATCAGCCAGTCAGTCAGTCAGTTAGTCGGTCAGTTAAGTCAAAGGTTAGGTAGTTATAGTCCTTCTTTCTCTTTAAATCAGGATTGCCACAGATTTGTATTGTCTCGATTCGCTGCAACAATAAACTCAATTAGTTTTGCTGGTTGGCTAAAGTTGAAGACCTCCTCCGTCACAATGCAAATCATATTGTATTTAATTAAAAATAATAAAGCTAAATTATGAAGTTCCCGACAAGTCGCATTCTCACCATGCAGGCCGTGGCCCCTCAGCTTCAGCTTCGGCTCAAGGTTAAATGATCATCACACACACTCGCACAATAGGGGCCCAATCGCGTGCGTTTTGTGCAGGCGGGCAAGCAGACGGGCGAACCGACATCCGAGCTATCAATTGGTCAGCCTAAATATAGCGACCCCAGTGTTATCTGACCGTCTTTATTCATTTATAGCCCCCCCATATGGGGTGAGTGCAATCATACAGACAAACCTACATATGTATACAGCTGTGGGAACACGCCACGATCGAACGGACAAATCAATTATGATAATGCCCAATTATGAAAAGAAAAACGTTACTTTTGAGTGCCAACTATAAATCGATAACGGTTTTATACTCCCTCCTCTATACCTCTTTACTTAGAGAACAGTACTCGTAAGTCATAAGTCCGCATTAGTTTACGTAAATTGTTCATGATGATTCATTAGCTTATATTTTGTTTGAACAAAAGTAAAAGGAGATAAAGCAGTTTTTTATAATATAATTGAAATGCTTTAATGACATAATTTGGCAATTAAAATAAAGATTATGAGTTCCTAAGTATTACGTATTTAAATTTTATATATTTGTTATAGGTTGATTAAATGATTTCCGAAATAAAGCAAGGCTAAGTCTAAATTAGAGTACAAGAACCAGTATCAAGTTTTAAAGATATTTCCTACAAGCTGTGGAGCTTCTTTTGCCTTTTTTGGAGTTCAAATTTTCCAAAATCGTTTAGGTATATTATGTAAATTGAATAAAAATGTTATCTTGGTTATCCAAATATTGTATTTATTCATTAATAGCCTTTATTTTATTACTTTAAATATTGTTTTGTTCTTATCACCACATCTATATATTTGAATACTATTAAGATTATCTTGGAGTAAGCAAAGCATACCCTCTGCGCCTTACTTCCCAAAAGCTAGATGTTATAAAATATATAATCATCAAAGGACGCCGAACCCTTCCCAAAATAGACCAATAAAAATATGGCTTGGTGGGTTACACACCTGCATACATTGTTTATAACTTCGCACAAAAAACATTATTTTCAAGGGCGCTACGCTATATTGGGCGAAATATGTATATATATATATGAATATTTCTGATTGACATCATAATTCTATGAACTTGTCATGCGTTTTTTATGACAATTGATAAGGAAGCGAAATTTGCAGAAGTTTGATTCTCGCCAGCAACGAAATATCAAAATTCAATCGCTATGAAAATTTATCATATTTGCAATCAGAATCCAAAAAATCACCTAGGCCTGATAACAAATGACGAGCTTGCCGGTACCGAAAAAAACACAACCGCTAGAGTAAATAGTTGAATTGTTTATAGAAATCGCCATTGCGTCGCCTAATCAGCAGAACGGCGCCGCCAACACACACTTCGAATGGGGTCCGAGTACTTTGGAGTCGAAAGTGCAGGCTTGTAAAAACATTTGTAGTATATATTTACATGATTATTCATATACATACGTATGTGTGTGCTATATACCAATGGCAAAGCTTGTGTTTAGTTTGAAAACTGATACGCACACACATGTCGAGACGCAATCGCTATTCGCGATTCTGGGCAGTGGTTGCATCTGAACCGAAAACCACAATAAGAGGCAATAAATAAAACCCTGCCATATCCCACACACCTAACTGCTCGAATTACCCACAGGCCGGGCGCGCCGCCCTGCTAACGGCCGCCTGTGTGGGGTCTGTGGGGTCTAGACTTTGCGCCGTGCCCGACGCAAGGGCAAAAGTTTGACTAGTAGATCAGATTTTGTAACAGACGCTAAACAAAGTTCATAACTTTCTAAAACTTTCATAATCAAGACTGGCTGGTCCGCCCCATTGCCCATTGGTGTCTCTTCTAACTAGAAGAAATATTTAAAGCAATTACGGTCATGCATATTGCCTGATAAAATTATACACTTTCCAAATTTGTTGTCAATTAACAACTTTGTTCCAAAGTACACGTCTCATTTTAATTAGTTTTTTAAGTTTATTGCCTCAGTCCCCCAAAACTGTGATAAGCTTTCGTTTTATATTTATGTGTGCATGTATATTGTTACCTGTACTTTTTTTCGTACCCTATACCGGAGGGGCGGGAGGTTTAAGCGATATACTAGAAAGTTGAAACACAAAATGTAACACGTATTATAGGTGATCAGCCTTTATCCCTCGGTTCTACTCTATAACCCTTGAAAACTTATGAATCATAACAGCGAGGACACGTAGTTAGAATATACCCCCATTACTTTTTAGAGCAACCAAATGAGCAATCGATTGAAAAATCACATTTAGTGGAATAATTTTCTTATTTATTAAGATTGTTCAGCCAATTTTGTTCTCTAGAATTATCTAAGTTTCGTCAAAAACTGTACACTATATGATGCAGCTACTATAGTATATGAACGACCGCTGCAAAAATCAACTATACAACCAAACACATTATTATAAAAGATTTCTGCCTAATTTTGTAAAGAAAATTAAATTGCCCTACTATTTTCTGAAGTTTCATCGAAATCGGGTCACTTTATAGCAGCGATAGAAGCGATTGAGCAAGAACAATTATTGGTTGAAGGACTGCGCTAAAAGAGAGGGGCGAAGCGAGCGAAATATACTGGAGTCATGGCTTAAGCGTTCCACAAAATTTGGCAAACACGTTTTTCGTCGCTTTCTTCTCTTCTTAAGTTTATTGATTTCGCATCTCTCACACGCACACGCACACACACATACATACACACTATTGCAGTTATTTGCCGGCCGGCCTCTTTTTTAGGTGGCGTGTTTTCCTTCTCTACTTCTTACTCCATTGCAGACGTAAGCTACCACGTGTGCCACCAAAATCGAAAAGTCGGGTGCAAGCAACAACAAAATTAACACCCTGATAACCAACTTACCAAGTTCCTTCATGTATTCATCAAAACCCTCGGATTTGTCCAGTTTGTACTTCTTGCCAACGAACGCGGACATTTTGATTTGCTACTTGAATTTATCGAATCTGACGGGAAGGAGAAACAAACGACGACTAGCACCGGGCAACGCTCTTAGACCAACTCAATGAAAGCTTTTCGAGCGTTGCACTTTTATACGTTTGCAAGGCGTTGCCAGTCGTTAAAAAAATGTACAAAAGTTCACAAACTCTGCAGATTTGCCGCTTGGTACAAAGAAGCTAGAGGCCATGACATTGCGCGGGTCCATTAATCGCTGCTCCCTCTGGATGACGTCGCATGCTGTGTAGAATTAAACATGAAATGTTTCTTATTTTTATTTACAATAAATGTATTTCAAAAATAATTACCCAAGTTGTTCATTGACACTTTTTTTAGCACAAAGTTTGTAATATTTTCCGATAATATAGAATTGTTTGAATTTTAGTCCACAGTGGGCGGGATATAACACGTCGATTTCGTACGCACTCACTCATTCGTATGATGCGAAGTTCCAGCATGTTATGACGTATGTTTGTATCGGCGCAGTGAGCGTAAAAGGGTTGCAGCCATCAATGCCATAACTTTTTCTTTTTGCCATGAGATTTGCATCAGTGGCTGGCGCTTCTGGTGTGTTTACATTGCATTTTGAAATATAACCACTGATAAGGATATGGCCGCATTATAGTAGACAACAACAATTTCTGTCCATTACTGCAATAGTCTGTGTGAGTCCAAATTTCAAATGTGTTTTTGCGTGTTCTATTTATGTATCGTGTATCTTATATAAAGAGCTTTCTCGCGCTCTCCAGCATGCCATGTAGCTGCCGAAAAAGCTTCGCAAATTTAACATATGTACATATGTATGTACTTATACACATACATATGTATGTATGTAGGTGTGTGTTGTTTATCACCATTTTATGACGCGTCTGCTTCAATGATGCTGTCTGCTGACATTCTCCCTCCTCTCTCTCTCTCTCTCTCTCTCTCTCTCTCTCACTTACAATCACTAACAATCAACGCACGATCAATTGCTTGCACTTTAATTGATTCAAAGGGGGCCGGCCGAACGGTTTTTCACTTTTTATTCAACTTTTTTTATGGGCACGTCAACGGATCATGCAACAGAGGTGGATGCTGTGAGAACTCTCAACCAGGGCTGGTAGCTGCATTTTCGCTCTGTTTGTTGATGGCCTTGAGTGTGTTGATGTGCATTTGCCAGCCCTGAAGTGAAGCACACCCGAAAATAAAACTGAATTTATCCAAAAGACTTGCCCAGACTGCTTCTGCATATCTTTTGATTGCCATTACCGACAATGTGTATTGTAATCTAATCGAGCGTTTCCTTCGACCCCAAAACTGCTCGTATCGCACTATAAAGTGCACCGTTTCACAACTTTTTATGACACTGTCCGGTTGCCAGACGCACCTACCATTCTTCTTGTTATCTTGTTAATTCAATTAACGCCTTCGCAATCGCCATCGCCCATGCAGTAGTCGTCATATCTTAAATGATTAAAAAGCAGAACTACCACTCCCAACACATATGTATGTATAGTATGTATTATTGAACTTTGAATTAAACAATGCTCTGCTCAGCCAGGCACGTGTATAGTGGGAGGAGTCATTCTTTCTTCAACCCTATAAGCAATTCTATATGGTAGATTCACTAATAATAACGCTGATTTCACTCCGAAATTTTTACAGTTAAACCCCTATTTTTATAGCTGAAACGTGTTATTGTTCGTACATACATATACCTTCATTTGTTGATAGATTGATAGATACAAAACATATCAATCAAAAAGTAACCCAAAAATATAACAAGCTTCTACAATAGTGAAAAGCCCAGTTTTCTTATTAAAACGTCCTAAAGGCGGCTTTTTGTATTGGTTTTAAAGTTCGAAGCATGTTGGAAGCAAAAAATGTTTTAATATATTCTTTAAAAACTTCAAATTTGTTATCATAACGTATTATAAATATTTTTCGCCAAATTGTAGCACAACCAAACATTTTAATCGAAACAATTCTGATAATTCAAATAAAATAAACAAATCGTTAGCTATTTGCAACACAGATTTTCTGCTCCATCCAATACTTTCTCAAATAAGACATTTTTATTCGCATCGCTCGCTTTGTCTTTGTCAAAATCAACCTTGAAAATATATACATATATGCGAATAAATATTCTACATAAATAAGATGTGCGAGAAAATCTTAATGTTAGTGTTTGGCAAACAGAAGCCATGACTTTTCATTTCACATTTTGTGGGAATTTTGCAGCTGATTCTATTTCATGGCAAAATCTCAACAAAAAAACTCGCCCCAAAATCCGCTATTCCCATCCTGGAAATGAGGATTAGTCTACCCTTTTCAATTTTTGTTTTGCACTTCAAATAATAACGTTTTTGACAGCTTCAGCCAAAGCTTGCTAAAAAGCTTTTCTAGAAGCTCCATTAAGCCAAGACAGCAACCATTTCAAATTGGAAACATTATCAGTAATACGTTAAAACTACATCAAGCCCTTAAATTATTGTCACAAAAAGATATTGTATTTATTAAAAAAAGGGAAACTATTTAGAATTATTTTCACAATATATTAAATGTGGGAATTACTTCAGCGGCATATCTTTATAAACAATTCCATATACATCATTTATATATAGTATTGTATCCCATATTTTCATCTTCAACATGATGTACTAAGGTTTACGACTGATTATATAGACTTGATTGCCAACTGTCTATCAAGGAAAACCGCAACGCTGCCAGCTGACTGATATAAAGCCTGTAAATATTAAGGCCAAAGTCAACAATACAACAATGCTGATAAAGCTAATTTAGTCACAAAATAAATACAAAGAAGTGGCTAGAGAAAAATGCATGAGTGAGAGCGCAAATGCTGCACAATTAATTGCCAGAGCATCTGATCATAGCTCCAAGCAACGGGAAAAAGTTCTCATTATTAAAGTAGGAGAAGATGCACCGACTAGCTCTATCGTATCGTGTGATGTCATAGTTTGCGAGAGCGTGTGAACTAAAAGACATTTATTTTCGTAATGTGTGAGGCTATGGAAACAAATGTTTCAAATTTGAAAGAAGAATTTATAAATGGCGAAATATGTTTAATTACTTTGAAAACATAAAAAGTAAAGAAATAATAATAAATAAATAAAACTCGCCTTGTCAATACGAGTAGTTTCTGAAAGAAAGAGGCAAAAATTGCATCCGCGATCGCGTCACCTACTTATACTTAATATGAGAATGAGATGTGAGCGCTCTCCGAGCACGACCGGCGGCTAAGAGAGCGAAAGGCTTTTGTTACAAACACTATCTGTTGTCTATAACAGTCACAGCTGACAAAGTGGGAGCAATAGAACGAGTTCGGCGGTCGTGGCGCAAACAACGAGAATCGGGGGCGCGATATCAACAATAAGAAACAAAATAGTGGACATAGTATACATAGTATATATGTGTGTGTTTGTGCACATTAATATAATTTTTGCGGCAAACTAAAAACAAAAACACAAATAATAATAAGTCATGCATGTGAATCCACGCACGTTCTGTTTCTCTTTTTAATTGTGTGATGAAATTTGACAGTGGCAGTGATATTGCTGGGACTAGCGCCACATGTGACGTTTGCCCTTCCAGCTCCAGTTATATGCAGAGCCGATTCAGTGTGAATCTAATACACATTTGTGCACAATAAAGATATGGCTAAGACACAGACTCTTAAATAATAATGACCGGCAGTGCGCTTATCTAATACCCAGAGAATAAACGAAAAAACGAGTCAGCCTGAGTGGAAAGTTTGCAGAGTGACGAGCAAAAAAATGTTGAGGCTCTTGTTTCTTACATATTAGGTAGTAGTATCTATCGACCCAAATGATAATGCCAAACCAATGACACAAATGATAAAAAGTTGTGTGTCAATACGGACGTGCAAAGTGCTAAATACGAGTATACACCTAGAAGGGCTCCCATGTTCATGGTGCTAATGAAAACAAAAATCTCACAATTACCACGAAAACAAATAACGAAACAAAAACAAATAGGAAGAAAAACCTAAACTACTTATAATTAACTATAAAAAATTAGAAGAAATTAGAAATGCAATCCGTGAAGGCCGATGAGTTGCCGGAGAATCCGCGCGAGCGCGCCAATCCCCTGTCAGCTCTAATGTTCTGGTGAGTGCCCGACTTATTCCGCGAATATATATGGACATACATACATGTATGTTTGTTTTCATTCATGTGTCTAGTATTTACATATGTATGTAGAGTTGGGAGCGTCATGACAAGTGTGACGAGTTGATTATTTCATTCAATGGGTCGTTTAATTTACAGCTACAGCCATAAACATATAAATAGCGCCAATAAACTAAATCACACACTTTCCATTTCAAGCTGAAAACCTATTTATAGCCAGATAAGGACCAAAAGAATAATTTTATAATATCTATGTATATTAAATATGTATTTTATTTAAATAACTGATATTTTATTGCTGATATCTGAAATGCTTGAAATATTCGTATTTTTCTTTTTATTTATTTGTATTTCTTTTAAAACTACAATTAAACAACTAATTTTGATTTTATTTTCAATTTTTAAGCAGTTGTGAAAATTATATTTTTTTTAATGAAGAAATACTATTTTTTATAAAGCTGTGCTTATATCCAGGACTTTTAATTAAAGTCCTACATTTGCAATTTAACGGCATCGAAGATATAGCCGAGCATCTTGTAATCTTATAGATAGTTTAAAAAGGTAACAAAAATGTGTGTGTTCGAAATTATGGAAGATCTTTCTTGCTGAAGTCAAGAATTGAAAAGTATTTTTCGGATGCTAGTTTAAAGTTTAAGAAATTTTGTTCAATATAAGGATCCTTTTTCATTGTGAGGTCGGTCTTGAAGTTTTGCTTGAAATCTGTTTTCAAAACTGTGCCTTGGACTTAATGATAGGTATAATTTAATAATTCATGAAAATCAATAATAATGGAGCTCTATCAAGAAAACAACTCTCTTATTATACTGTTAAAACCATACAACTTTATAGAAATAGCATCAATATGATGAGTTTTTAAATGAAATTTAACAGATGATATTTATTTAAACTAAAAAAAAAACGATTATATTGTTTATGCCAATTTGTGGAATATAGACTTGCATTATCTCTATGAAAATTGAGTTTATAAAATATCATATTTCGTCTCAATAATTCATATAGCCCTATTTGTGTATCCACGACTGTATCGTCTAGAAGCGTGAAACGTTTTGCATTTAGTGTCTTGATTGGACAAATGGATATTTGTATCTCCATGTGGAGGGATAACTGAACTATTTGTGCTCGGTATTTCACATAATTCAATTGGCTGTCAATTAAAGACGACGTGCATTGTGCAGTTCATTGCCCGCACTGTGTTAAAATATTTGAATAACATAAATAATAATGTGCAATAAGGAAAGGAAACTAATGGTATGTGACTAGACGCCAGAAAAGACCCTCAAGCAATTCAGAGAATCACACGTGAACCCATGACTCAAGTTTTAAAGGTCTAACCAAATCTCAAACATACTATAAACCTATACATACATGCATACTATTCGTACACAGATAGGCGCACTTTGATAAGGCCTTAATTTATGAGAATTTAATTAGTAATGGCTTCAAATAAAACATGACATTTATCTTTCCACAACCTAAAACAGCTTCGCACTCCCCGTATTGTTTAAAGGGCGAAAGAAGACGTTGGAACAGTCAGATCTATTTAAGGCACTCAATGAACACAAATCAGGTAAGTGGAAGACAATATCATTTTATGATCAGTGTTGTTATGTAAATTAATAGCAATATCGTGATTATTGTGGTTATTACTGCTATGATTAATATTAATATAGAAATTTCATAAAACAAGAAAAGTATACAATGGTATACTAATTAAGAGCGAATGTTTATAACAAGACGAATCGATATAGCCATGTGCGGCTGTCCGAGCGTCTGTCTGTATGAACGCAAAAATCTCCGAAATTTTAAGAGCTAGAATAGGAAAACTTGGTATAAATATTCACCTAAGCCTTAGGCAAGTCAAGCTCGTGTTTTTGTTTTGATGCACCACCACTGCTTCACCATTTAGTGATTAAACCAAAACTCTCGTAATTGCAATTGCATCCGGTTAGTGATTAAGAGTTCTCATGTCAAGTTCTCGGCGCCCACATTACTTTTTTAATAGGTGTTTGCTTAATGTATTTAATATCCTATATCAACACTTTCTACTCATACAAAAAGAGCAACAAATAACAGCAATTAATATAATTTCAAAAATTGTTTGCACTTATTTCATTAATTTGTATTTGGATGATCCAGATCCTTGGTCGAATTGTGTTGTAAATAAAATGTTGCTATTTATGCCAGGATAGTTCATCGCAAATTAACTGACTCGATCAAAAAATTAGGCACTCCTTATTGGTTTAACTCCAGTAACTTTATATTTCAATTGAGTTCACATCTAATCCGTATATCTGTATATATACTTGTAGTATGCTTGTCGGCCTTGCCTTATTTTTGTCAAATACTTTCATGTGGCTTCGCACCTTTTTTTTCGATCACGCGATAAAGCCGCTGAACCAGTATTTTGATAGAAAGCATAGCAGTCGATTTGATAACTCAATTAAAGCGACAAACACATGTTTATTTAATCAATAGAGGCAAATAATAGTTCTATATAGACAAGAAGTTCTTTATCCACTCACCCATGCTTTATAATCTCGAAGAAAAATAGTACTTTGAAGATAAACCAACATATTTTCCTGTATGATTATTTATAAAGAGCGCTTATGGCCCTGTTTCGATCTACATGTAGACCATTCGGTTTGCAGGAGTAAATTCGTATCTGAAAATGGAAAATTGGCCTTTTATCTTACAAGTTTATTTTCAAATTTCAAGATTATTATTAATGATAATATTCATTTAATTTATTTTATTAATAAATGTTGGAGCGTCGCGGGAATTTAATGTAAATTTAATTCATATTTTAGGAGTTAGTTTGTATCTGTAATAGGGCCTTAAATGTTATATTCATATTTTCTCATTTTAAGATGAAAATAAAAAGGAAATGAAATGAAGTTTTTCTAATCTGAAAGAAAAGCATGGTCAGGCTGATATGGTAAGGGATTCTATTTTAGTGATCTTTAATATTTGAATTAGACGTTTAAAGCTATTAACTATCTGAATAAGTTAAGCTATATAGTATAACTTAATCACTTCTTATTCTATCAGATACGCTTGGAGAACGCCTATGCAAAGCCTGGGATGAGGAGGTTAGGGTGAAATCCGCTCAGAATCTACAACCGAGCTTACTGCGCGCCCTAAAGCAGGTCTTCGGCTGGGAATTGGCAATAAAGGGGCTGTTGCTGGCAGCCCTAGAAATCATTACCAGGTGAGCCAGCAAATAACTTTATTTCTTAGTCCCACAAGCTAATGCCCTTACATTTTAGAGTATCACAGCCCATCTGCTTGTTCGGGTTCATGGCTTACTTTGGCGGCGATGAACCCAGTCTGACGAAAGCCGAGTTATACGCCGCTGGCCTCATTGCGTCCACAGTCGCCAACACGATGCTAACCCATCCTCATATGCTGGGTGTCCTGCACTTGGGCATGAAGATGCGCATTGCTCTGTGCAGTTTGGTTTATCGCAAGGCCCTGCGTCTGAGTCGTACAGCACTGGGCGACACCACAGTTGGACAGATCGTGAATTTACTTTCCAATGACGTGGGTAGATTTGATACGGTGCTCATTAATGTGCACTACTTATGGATAGCGCCATTGGAGCTGATTATCGTCACGTGGGTTATGTACCAGCAGGTGAGTACTGAGGGAAAGAATTTGTATGTAGCAGCTGAGTCGACAAGTGTCCGTCTGTATGAACGCTTAGATTTCGCAAAGTATTGGACCTAGAGCCACCAAACTTGGTAGGCACATTCTGTCGGTTATTTCCTTTCAGTAATTTAGGGGAAGGATGAAGAAAGAACGTTCAAAACAAATTTCAAGTATATATGAAGTATATTTGAAGACTGTTTAAATGCCAAACTGCCTCAAAAAAGCGTTAATCAGATAAATTAGAATTAGCGCAGATCTACAACTATTGATTAAAAAACATTAGTAGACCTAGGGCCTTCACAAATTATAGTCAAGATCTGCTTATCAGGAGAAACCATCTCTCCTAGTAACTAACGAAGAAACAAAGATATTTTAAGATGTCACTTAAAGTTCGGCTGATATTTTATTTCAACTCAGGAAATAGTGCTAATTGTTAATTTATGTATATATGTATAACAAAAAATGTTATTTTAGATCATATGTTTGGTCTGAGAAAAGTTAGCACCATTAGTTGAGTTCATTCAAAATTAGACACAAATATTCTTCACAAAATGTATGCACATGTATGTTGCTGGCTGAACTTTATAATTAATCTCTTCTGTTTATAGATCGGCATATCCTCGATCTTTGGCGTGAGTGCGATGCTTCTGTTTTTACCCCTGCAAACGTATTTGGGAAAAAGGACGAGCGTTTTGCGGCTGCGCACTGCATTGCGCACAGATGAGCGAGTCCGGATGATGAACGAGATTATTTCGGGCATACAGGTGATCAAAATGTATGCTTGGGAGAGGCCTTTCGGGAAGCTGATTGAATTGACGCGACGCAAGGAAATGAACTGCATTAAGAAGGTCAACTATATACGTGGCGTGCTGTTATCCTTTGCCATATTCTTGGCCCGCGTCTCCATCTTCGTCAGTCTGGTGGGATATGTGCTGCTTGGACAGATTCTTACCGCAGAGAAGGCGTTCTTTATAACAGCGTATTACAACATCTTGCGACGATCTCTTACAATGTTCTTTCCACAAGGCATCGCCCAGTTTGCCGAGATGCTGGTGTCCATAAAGCGTCTCGAGACATTTATGCTGTCCGCGGAAACGGAGGTCAAGGATAAGTCTCTGACTACTGACGACACCGCCTCCGAAAAAGCAAAGGATCTGGGCACACCCCTGATCGTTAGAAATGGTGCTAAAGCTAATGGCAATACTGTGCGTACCGAAGAACACCCCGTGGAACTTACCAACTTCAGTGCCATGTGGGTGGAGAAGTCTCCGGACTACACGTTGCAGGACATTAACTTGCGACTACGACGCACCCAGCTGGTCGCTGTCATTGGACCCGTGGGTGCGGGCAAGTCCAGTCTCATACAAGCAATCCTTGGTGAGCTGCCAGCCGAGTCCGGCAGCCTCAAGCTAAACGGCAGCTACTCCTATGCCTCACAGGAACCCTGGCTGTTTACGGGCAGCGTGCGTCAGAACATACTTTTTGGCCTGCCTATGGATAAGGACCGCTATCGTAGTGTGGTCAAGAAATGCGCACTGGAACGCGACTTCGAGCTGCTGCCGCATGGTGACAAGACGATTGTAGGTGAGCGCGGTGCCTCCTTGTCCGGTGGCCAGAAGGCAAGAATTAGCTTGGCGCGTGCTGTCTACCGCAGAGCGGACGTTTATCTGCTGGACGATCCACTCAGTGCCGTGGATACCCATGTGGGTCGCCATCTATTCGATCAATGCATACGCGGCCTGCTGCGTCGACATCTCGTCGTGCTTGTTACCCATCAACTGCAGTTCCTAGAGCGCGCCGATCTCGTTGTGATCATGGAAAAGGGCAAAATCAGTGCCATGGGCACCTACACAACAATGAAACGCAGTGGCTTGGACTTTGCGGAACTGCTAACCGATCCGAACAAGGTCGACGAGGATGAAGACAAGGAAGCCCAGGGAGACATTTGGGATCGGTTGAGCTTGCCGCGAAGTCGCCGCGGCAGTCGCAGTCGTAGCCCCCGGGGCAGTCGTTTCAGTTCCCGCAGCAGCAGCATTACCTCATTGAACTCCATGGCCGAATCATTGATGTACGATGCACCCATGCAGGTGCAGGAGACGAGACTGCAAGGACAGATTGGACTAGGACTGTACAGAGAATACTTTGCAGCGGGCAGTGGCTGCTTCATGATTATACTCATGATTTTTCTCTGTCTGGGCACACAATTACTTGGCTCTGGTGCAGATGTTTTTCTGTCGTATTGGTGAGCTTTTCAAATACTATATATCTTTGGAGACTTATTGATTTGTGTATTGTTTCTAGGGTGGATAAGAACAACAATGCTGCCGACTTTTCCTCGGATCCAGTAGACATCTATTATTTTACGGCCCTCAACTTGGGCGTTATCGTCTTCACCCTAACCCGAACGCAGCTGTTCTACAAGCTAGCCATGCGCTCATCCACCAAGTTGCACAACGCTATGTTCCTTGGCATCACGCGGGCTGCCATGTACTTCTTCAACACGAATCCGTCCGGACGTATATTGAATCGCTTTTCTAAGGACTTGGGCCAGGTCGACGAAATCTTGCCCAGCGTTATGCTTGATGTGGCTCAAGTCTTTCTTAGTCTAAGCGGCATCATTGTGGTTATATGCATAACAAACCCCTGGTTTTTAACGCTAACCCTTGTCTTGGGTATCATATTTTACTACATACGTGAGTTTTATCTGAAAACTTCACGCAATGTTAAGCGTTTGGAGGCGGTCGCGCGTTCCCCCATTTACTCGCATCTGAGCGCCACTCTTAATGGGTTGCCCACCATTCGTGCGTTGGGAGCGCAAAAGGCCCTTATCGCCGAGTTCGACAACATTCAGGATCTACACAGTTCCGGTTACTACACATTCCTGACAACCAATCGGGCCTTTGGCTACTACCTAGATCTCTTTTGCATGCTCTACGTTGTGGTCATAGTTTTGAACTACTTCATAAATCCACCCGTGAACGCAGGCGAAGTGGGTCTGGCCATCACCCAAGCCTTGGGCCTAACAGGCATGGTGCAATGGGGCATGCGTCAGTCGGCGGAACTCGAGAACACTATGACTGCCGTAGAGCGCATCATTGAGTATGAAGATCTTGAGCCGGAGGGCGAATTTGAATCTCAGCCAGCACAGAAGCCACCAGAAACTTGGCCAGAAATGGGAAAAATTGTCGCTGATGATCTAAGCTTACGCTACTTCCCGGATCCCCAAGCCGAGTACGTCCTGAAGTCGCTCAACTTTGAGATTCAGCCAACGGAGAAAGTTGGAATTGTAGGTCGGACTGGTGCTGGCAAATCATCCCTCATCAATGCACTGTTTCGGCTGTCCTACATCGATGGCTCGATTCAAATCGACGAACGCGATACCAGTTCGCTGGGTCTGCATGATCTGCGCAGCAAAATATCAATTATACCGCAGGAACCTGTTCTGTTCTCGGGAACCATGCGCTACAACCTCGATCCCTTCGACGAATACAATGATGCCAAGCTCTGGTCCGCTCTGGAAGAAGTCAAAATGAAGGCAGCCATTGCCGAGCTTCCCAATGGACTACAGAGCAAAATCTCCGAGGGTGGCACCAACTTCAGCGTCGGACAGCGTCAATTGGTGTGTCTAGCGCGCGCTATTTTGCGCGAGAATCGCATTCTGGTGATGGACGAGGCTACGGCCAATGTAGATCCGCAAACAGACGCACTCATCCAGGTCACCATTAGGGATAAGTTCAGGGATTGTACAGTGCTTACCATTGCACATCGCTTGCACACCATCATGGACTCAGACAAGTTAATTGTCATGGATGCCGGCCAGTTGGTCGAATTTGGTTCACCCTATGAATTGCTGACCCAATGCGAGTCCCGAATCTTCCACGACATGCTCATGCAAACGGGCCAGAGCACATTCGATAGCTTGCTTAAGGTAGCGGAAAAGGTACGTGAAACATCAACTAATACCAACAATGAGTATTACGAATACTTTCTTTACTTGCAGACACATTTGGCCAAACAACAGACAAAAGCAGCCTAACCGTACACCTACTATAATGTCCAACATTCTAAGGGTTCTGCTTCAAATTGGCCAGTATTTGTATCGAACCAACACATCCAGAGTATTTTTGCTAACTCGTTTAGGAAATTGTAATTATGTATTTGAAGGAATATTAGAATCGTCAGATTTTTTCATCAGATTCTTGTCATGCTGTAAGAACACAAAATTAGCCTAATGACCCACCTATATTACTTATTATTGATTGGATTGATTGATACTTTTGATATCTCATTAACAACTCGAAATTCGTAGGGTTTAGCAAATGTTTTAAACTGATAATTACTTGCCAGTTTGCATTTAAAATTTATTCTGTTACTTAAAGTATCATCGATACGAACACTAGTGTATATATGTATGTGTATGCAACAATAAATTTAATTTCCTTATGCCTGAGTAGTACCAATATTATCTGGGATCGCCGCCTCCCACTTGATTAATGAGCTTAGGGGTTTGACGCTCAACAGCCACTTGGCCACATAGAACATCATAATCAACAACAGCGGATTGGAGTGTAATATTTTCAGGTTATTGACAGATCGAAGTATCGTAAGCAACGGTCCCTGATTCTCCACCGTGAAGAACATATATATGATTATCACATCACTGATCAGTAACATGGAAATGAGAACCAATTTAGAATATTGACGAGCATAAGCGCTGAATGCTTGAATGCAGGCCAACAATATGATGATGGGTATGAAGAGCTTAAGGATGATCAGAAAAATACTGGAGTGCAACGTAAAATCCCTGAGAAACATTCGTGCTGATTTCGGCTCAAAAGAGCTCATCGAGAACAAATTTCCGGTGCCGTAAAATGAGAAGAACACGTAGATAAGTACTGTTGAGGCATGGCGATAGGCGATCCGTATATGATCTTTAGCCGTCAGTTTCGCCAGCTTGTTCCCTTCTCTCTCCTCTTCCAACTCGTCATCCACGACTTGCTTGCCCTCCTTACTATCGGCGTGCAGACTAAGACCCACCAAATACTCCGTGACGAGCAGTTGCAGAAATATCAGTTCGCTGGAAAGGCAGAGAAGCGAGTAAAGCGTGCTTAAGCTGAAGAAAATCAAATCAACACGAGATCCGGGTCCACTTGAGTTGGAATATGGAATGCACAGGAAGACAAAGCATAGATAGGTCCAGGCAATGACATGCATGCCATAGTAAATGGTCTCATTATGGGAGTGCAGGTACACTCCATAAGCCCCCATGAGCAGCACGGCGGTGTTTATGAGCCAAACGTACCAATCATGACGCTGACCCAGGACCAGTGGACGCAGCAGGACCAACAGCATGCCAAAATACAGCAGACGATCATCAGCAGTGCCCAACGAAGAGATCAGAACCGGAAACATGGACAAGATGCCAACCAGGAGCAGCCAGGTTAATAGCTTAATCGACGGGCGTCGAAAACTTTTCATATTCGGAACACACACAACCAACACATACCACAATGAGATGAGCCGACTTTCGTAGATGGTGGATACTATCATGGCAGCAGAGCCCCCAATCCACAGCATCTGCAGGAAGGGAGCCACACAGACTCCAGTATGAGAGCCCCGTTCTCGCAATGCCAGTATCCAAACGATGAACGGCAACAGCAAATATAAGGCAGTCAAGTAGGGTATACGTGCCAGAAATATGAAACCCGCAACTATCAGAGAACCGATACTAAGCAATAGAATGGGCAAGGACTTGAACCCTCGCTTCTTAATGCCAACGCAGACGCGCGCCTGCATCGCCAGCAGATGGTAGAACCAGCCCAGGTAGCTACAAACAATGGCCACAATGAGAGGGCGTCGGTAGAAATTGTAGTAGTATTTCAAACAATCGACGGCTACGCGTGCCATCGTCTGACTTTTGGCCATGGTTTCGACATAGCAACCAGTTTTGAGCGATTGCTCGCTCAGCTCCCGATAGCGCTTAATTCGTTTGGCATCCAGATGCGGGAAAGTACTCAATAGATCGTTGAAAATGCCCCCATGATGATTATCCATTATGCGCTCAACTTGCGACAAAAGCTGCAACGCATTTAAATAGGCTGCATACGCCTCGTATTTCAGACTGACGTTCATATATCCCAGGGGCAGCACTGCCTGATTATTCATCGGTGGAGGCAGACCGATCAGTGCCGACATCAACGGGGCCAGCTCTCTCTGATCCAAAAAATGCAGTGGTAGCTCTAAGCCATCGCTGTTGGCCACAAACTTTTGGCCAACGTTGTGGGCCTCACGTTTAATGCCAGAGCCCCAGAAAAAAAATGGCACTTGTGCCTCATCTGGACTGGAGTCCTCATGCGAACCTTCAAAAGCGTCAAAAATGACAATAGTCTGATCTCATCCAGTTATTCGCTTTGTCGTACTAACCCCAATCCGTCATGCCATGATCCGAGGTCATCAGATAGCTGGTGCGACCATCAGGAAACATTCTCTCAAATATTTCATAAATGTCACTGATACCCGTATCCGTCATGCCTAGGACCTCTAAAAAGGATTCATTATGGTGATGACCAGCCATATCGGTATCCCCAAAGTATGCATAGAATACCACCGATTTCTCATTCTGCAACTGCTTCACTTTTTCGATATTATTAAAGAATGATCGCACCTTAGTAACCGTCCAGTTAGTCCGTCCGCCTAACTGAAATTCCCAGAAATTATGGGATTCAAAGTTCAACGGCGATCCGCCATTTAGCGAATTCGATAAGAAATTAGTAACGAAATCACAAGACCAGCCGTAGGCTGAGTGGCTACGATTGAAAACAGTGTCAAAACTGCCAGGAGCTTCTTTGAATTTGATCAAAACCTGTGAATGGTCTTCGTAGAAACCGCCAAACAATGCCAGATGACCTGGACGTGTTCGAGGTGGCAAAGCGACGTGCGCTACTCCCACTAAGCCCTGCTCCACAAATAGCTTCTGCAAGTGGGGGAAATAGGTGCAGTTCTTGGCAAAAAAGGATTTAGCCCGTAATCCATCGACGAGAAAAACAACTATCCGATCCGCAGGCGGCTCTAACCCCTGCTCTCTCAATGTCAACTGTGGGTGTAAGCCGGACACCAGAGTAGAATTGAAGTATACCTTTAGGATGGAGCCAAACAACAGTAGGTGTAAACAAAAGGTGTAAATTTTCCACATTTTTGAAACAAATATGTTTTATAGTGTAATAATTTAAAACTTATGGCATACTTGTAATATGTTTTTTAAATAAAAATTCAAATGTTCAATAATTTCAAAAAATGAATTCTTTAAAACTAGTTTACCCAAAAAATATAATTTAAATATTCTAATATTGACAGAGATACCTTCAGATAACAAAGAATGGTAGTAGATGCCACCATATTTAAATTTTAACGTTTGACAATATGAAACAAAAAATCCATCTCTGGCAAGCTCTTTTTGTGCTGCCAAAAGTCTAAAAAGCTTAAGTTGCGGAGTTTTCATTACGCAGCCACAAAAATTATGTGGCAGCACTGCATTTGTTTTGATGTCCTACGGGTGTTTTACAGCACTGTTCAACCGCAGTGGCTGCTAAAAATTGTTTCAAGTTTGTTTTTGCACACAGGCACATATTTTCAGTTTATTCGCACCATAAACGCACAATTTATTTATTTTTGTTCCGGGCGCGTACTGCATTTAATCCATTTTGTTTTTTTTTTTTTTGGAACGAGAGACTAGTGGAAAGAATAACAGTGTGAAGTATTTTTCAAATTGCTGAGAAAGTCTCCTCTGCTCAGCATGCATGTTCATATCTGTTTGTGTGTAGAAAGATGCACGTAAATAATGTGGCGCAATAGAATGTTGTGGTAAGCAGAAATGTGTTGGCGTTTGTTTATAGATTTATTTTGAAGTGTTTAAGTGATGGTTTGTTTGGCCCAAGCGCGCCTTCGTCGTACGCGCATGAAAATTCAATAAAAATTGAAAAGCAGCAGCTGAAGCTTTCAGAAGTGGCTGTTGTCGCAGCTGCTTTTGATAAGAGCGTGTGTTATGGGTGAAGAGAGTGTGGAGAGAGGCGACACTCTCCGTTCATGCGAGTTGCTGCAGGAGCCGTCTCGCTGAGTCGCCCGGTTTGTTTAAGCTAGAGACAGATATGGGTCCTGCTTGTCCACACGCGTGTTCGTGTTCGGTCGTGTTAAATCAAAACTGCAGGAAAAACACAAAAATAAACCTAATCTCTAACAATTATTCGATAAAGCATTCTAATCTCTAACAATTATTCGATAAAGCATTCTCGACAGATGTCTCTTTTCGAAAAATTTACGTTCTGGTTGGAACTCAGATGATATGTAAATTTACATTTATTAATAATTGGAAACAAATTATTTCCATAAAATGTTATTAATTATGTGGCTTGAAAACTTATTTATTGGAACTAGTGAATACTAGTGGAATCACTAATCTAATATTAGCTTTTTTGCATATCGGAACATTTCCCAATTTGGAATCCGCATATTTTTGTCTAAATCGGAAACGGGAACAGCCATGATAAACTTTCCATAACTTACCTTAATGATGCAATTAAAAAAAAAACTTATTAACAATATAAACAAAAATGTATTGCACTGTGTTACGAAAAAATACGAGTCGTGCGTGCGCTTCCACGTTCTTAAAGCTCCATGCCGACCCATGCTGCCCTCTCTAGTCGCAGCGCGTCCGAGAGAGAGAGAGACTTGTTGCTTCTTGTTTTTATCACGCTCTTTACACGTTTGATCGCGCAACAGTCTGATAAGAGCAAGCACAGAATTCCACTCTGCTGCCTATAAATGGAGCACTACATCGGCCAAGAGCTAAGTTGTTGCCCATTGGTTAAACGCGGCAGACGGCAGCATTGTTTTCGCGGATAGTTCGTATTGGTGCACGTTTTTTTGTCCGTTTTTGGGGCTTTTCCCTGACAAGTGAAATTATTGGTAAAGTTGACGGCAATATCTATCGAGTGCCTTCCCAGTGAGTGGAAATTAAATACAATTTATGGAACCAATTGAAATGTTTTCGAGCTATAAAAATATTTGCTCAAATCGTACAAAATTACGAATATAACGTGCTTCTGAATTTAAGGCTAAAAAATACTTTGCAACGAATAACAAAAATCCTATTACACTTTAAACAATTTTTAGAATCAAATGCTGCTATCCTTTTAGGCAATTTAATGTTCATCAAACTAATAACTATTCAATAACATTTGTGAAATCGTTAACTTCTATCAAGAAAAAAAATCTTAATTAATTCATAGTAAATTCATAATTCATAATTAAGGACCCAGAAAGTGCTTTAAAATTAGTTATAATCATATCTTGTATTCAAATATTAATCAATTATGAACATAAAGTGCGTTCAAGTCCTTTCAAGAAAAAAAAAAAGAATGAGTTATAAATTATAAAAATTGGTTATGGAAATAATGTGGTTTTTATAATCAAACATTACAATTTCTTCAACAACAAAAAATAAATACTTAAATATGTTTTCGATGAGTGTTTGGAAATTCGTAAAAATTATGAAAAAAAAATCATGAATTACAATTGTTTTGAATTATAAAAAACAATTGTGAAAATAAAGTCTTGTGTATTTATTTTTTGAAAAGTATGTAGAACTAAATTTTTAATTTAAAAATTCTCAAAAGAAAATTAAAAATATATTTCAAAAGTCAATTTAAAGAAAATCGAAAACCACACGGTTGCTAAGGTATTTATATTGATGGCGAAATTGTCTTACGCTTTCGCATAAAACTGCTAATCACCATGAGTACAATTCTGGCCTAATCTCGCAAGTACTTGACTATTTAGGGTCTATCATTTAATGATAGCGATATGCTGTGGAAAATCGAGCTTACTTTAATATAATTGTGGGGCCTTCAGCAAATGTCAAATATAAACAATCCTAATTGTGTTATAAAAGCGCTTATCACTGGATGAGTTGTGTGTTTGTTTGAAATTATGGAATGGGGAAAATGCAGATAAAAGTAGATGTGAGGTTGAAGAGTTGACCCCCAAGAGAACTAAAAACGCTACTCAAGTTCTGATAACACGTAGCTAATCAGTTTGTTTATCTGTCTCTCTAACCCAATTCCAGAGGCTGCCGTTAAACTAAATGTGATCGCACCATAGTATATAAACAAATCGAAACCAGAAACCTTAATTGCAACTGAAACGAGCTCCATAAATAGAATTCACCAAAATGCAGTCAATGAAAGCCGATGAGTTGCCGCAAAATCCGCGCGAGCGCTCAAATCCGTTGTCAACGTTGATGTTCTGGTACGTATACCCCATAAGCTCTAATCTTTCAGCAAAACAGCTTATCTGATGAGTAACTACCGTTTTAGCTTTGCCATGCCCACATTTTTTAAAGGCCGCAAGAAAACTCTCAATGAAAATGATCTCTACCGTGCATTGGATGAACATAAATCGGGTGAGTTCATATATTTCTATTCCAGATTAGTATACCCTGATACGATGTTATGCACTCCATTTATAATTCTGTCTCTACATAGTATGCTTTTAGAACCTGATTTTCAAAATTTAGAGCTTTATAGAGTCTAGTCGAACTTATAATTCAAATGTTAGGAATTTAAAAAAATTATTTTTCGAAAAAAATATAATAATATTTTATATAATATAATTATTGTTATCAGTTCTAAATAAAGTTCTAAGTTAGTGAAACTTTTTTTAGTGAACAAATTTCGACTGCTTTTATTTCTTTAACAAATAAAACAAATTACAAATGTGACCTTCAAATTATACAAAACAAACATTAATGTTCTAATGTTCCAATAGCTAATGGTTCGAAATCGTTTTATTTGATTTTTATTTCCCCATTATATGAGAGACCTGGTTTGAATATCTCAACACATTTTGTTAAAAAAAAAAAAACATTGCATTTTTTAATGTAGGACCCTCCATTTGATGCTCTAAAGTTTGAATCGTCTTTTGTTATAAAATCATTTCCAGTTCTCGAATTTTTAGCAAATAATTCCAATGTTAAAACAAACTGTTAACTGTAATTATATATTTGTCAAATATAGTTTGAATTTTTGTTTATCAAACCGCTGTTTCGGTTAGCTTGCGTGTTTTTTTATATTTATCTTCCATTTGAGAATGCCTTTTGTTTTCAAAACTTTTCGCTGATGCTCGGATATATCTAAAGCTGTACGAAAACAGTGCTATGTCAGCATTGTAAAATATAATTGGCATATCCATATAACCATAAAGTCAGGCGAACGTGCCCAACTCCAAATAGTTGATGTTGTTGTTATTGTTGCTTAGAAAACATATACATATATTGTAAACATATCTTTGGCGGCTGCTTATTTTTTTTTTGCGACGTCAGCCCAAAATGCTGATTAATTACATTTTCCCCGAATGTGGCACAAAACGACGCCAGAGTCATGACCAGAAACGATGCGCACTGCGTTCTGCATACGAAATGAGCGCAATTTCTTGGATAATTGAATGGGACGGCCTCCCAACCCTAGAGATACTTTATGGGCGAGCAGCGGCTGCTTATAAGGCCCATCATACTCGTAATTCACCTGTACGCGCGTTTATTGTTAATAAATTTTGATTAAATTATTAAATTAACATTGTTGATAAGCATTACGTCGTCCGCCCCCTTTCTCCTCCTCCCTGGGCTTATCAGCGATAGCTGAGTACGTGACGTCATGCATGCTTAGCTGCTTAATGAGTAATAATAAAAGAAAAGTGTCTAACTGGCACTCGAGTGTTAAGTAAAACCCAATAAGTTGTTCGTTTAACACACACCCCAACCGAGCTTATTATAAGCAATTAACACCATTACACTGCACTTCTGCACCCAGACTTGTGCCCATTCTCTCTCTCATATTTCATTATAGTACTCGTACACTATAGCCAGGTATATGCAAAGTTTGGAATGTCTGTTGCAGGCAGCAGAAGACTTGGCAGATAGCTCGAAGCGGTAGAATTACATACAAGTACACCCGTCTGTCTGTATGAACATCGTGTGTCTTCAAACTATTATAACTAGGGACACCAAACATGGCATATAGACTGCTCTCATATATATGCACATTAAGTTTTTTGCAAATCATATATAGCTTCATTATTTGCAGCTCGAGGACTGCTGGGTCGATTCGAAGATAATACAATAGTCTACTAGTTTTTAACCCACTCATCGATAGTCTGTCTTTTTTATTGTGCACTTTGTACCAGATACTTGGGCATTACCAGGCTCGTGTTTGGAGAGGCAATACTCGTGCGCAACTAATCCCGATAGGGCCCCGAACACTTCCTTAACTTAAACAGCAGACAGGCACGTAACACATACATATCTGTACATCTGTACGAGTATATTGTCATATTCAGCAAATTACAAACACACTTCAGACCTGCTGTGTGTGTGAACTGAAGTGCTTGGCATTGAAAAATGTAACTCTTCTCGACAAATTTGTACCTACACGTATCCCCGATTAGATAAAGCAGAACGCTAAACTGTGGTGGGTATGAATGAAGAATGAATTTCACTAGGAAATTGGCAATAATTTATGGGAACAGGTGTAGAAAAATATCGGATCGCCTAATCTCTACAAATTTCGTAGAAGATACGAGTCTTTTACGAAAGTTGCTTGCCAACGCAAAGGTGCAAAGGCCTTTAAGGAGTTGCAGTTTCACAAATCAAGTCAGTTTTAGAAAGCGATTGATGTTATCACTTAATGGATCTAGGTTTTCAGTACTTCTTCGATTAACTAGATTAGCTTATGTTTAATTGCAATCTATGTTTATTTGCAAGTAATTAGAATAAGCTTGCTTAGTCTTTTCATTGGCTGTATATTTTAAAAACGGATATTTCCAGGACAGATATACAGAAGAGGCATACTAATTTTTCTAAATCTAATATTAATGATCACTTTTTTTTTAATTTTATGAAATGAAGCCATAAAGTTTGAAAATAAATGCTGACCTGCTTCCGGAATCCATTTATTATCCAGCTCTATGGCTGTGTTATCATTGTAAAAGGCTTTTTTCAGATAGATTAGAGCTTAAATTTACAATGAGCCATTAAATAATATATACGAGTATATATACATATTATACTCGTAGATTATCAACTTTTGTTAGCCTTCTGTTGCAAACCCTGTGGTTAAAAAAATCAACTTTTGATTTCTTCGTGCGAGTCTCAAGTGGCTGACAAAAATATGAGGTATTACGAATTATGACAAGCCAATGATACCAACATTTTGATTTGTGTCATTCAAGCTGATAATTCTGACAACGTCATAAGGTTTGACTTTTAAATATTACCTCCCCGAAACAGCTATATCATATGTATGTAGATACCCACTCGCATATCATTCGCATAATTGCCATAAAACAGATCCTATAACGAGTTCACAGCTCTTCCCCTGTTTTTGCAATTCACGTAATTTTTGTTGTTGTGGTCATTTTTTGTTTGTTTGAACAATAGTGTGGAATACTCGTATCTTATCGGCTTTTGAACAAATATTTATATAAGTAAACAATAAGTAATATTTAAGTATTGATTTAGAAGGCACTTAAGTTAGCGGCGAAGCTAATGTCACATTCGTAGAGGAAGTTCTTTGGACATGTGAAAAGCTTTGGGGATTAAAATAACAGCTGGTGGCTTGGTTAGCTGATAGATAAGTACGAATAGTCGCCGCTTAAGATATTGGGTCTTTTGTTCTATTACGGAGCCATAACTCATGCGAATTAGCGATGTGTGATTTCTACCTTGAACTTTGAATCGAATCATTATCAAGTTAACTGTAATCAGTGGTTAATAACTAGATTGATCCCATGATATATTGACATCCGATCTGTGGTCATTGCTTTCAATTTCGCAAGATATTAAAGGAATTGGAGATTTCTTTTCATGTCGGAATTTATCAAACACCCCATTGATAGCAAAAAATATTTATTTTGAGAACTCAGTATATTATTCCATAACTACTATAAATCAATAGTGCTCCATAATGAAGAACATTTTTATCTAAAGCAGACAGACAAAGGAAAAATTCATTTCCACACAAAATTTAAATGACAAAAACTATAGCACTGTAGACATGTTTTCCTTGAGAATTCGGCCCTAGATATGGGAAGAAAAAACCACATTATAGGAAGATTAAAAATATAGTATACCTGTATTGAACCCAAAATAATGGCATTCTTATTATAATGAATTTCTTGAATATCCAGAATATCTCTCTACTATTTGAAATTGCAGAGCATGTTCAATACACTGTTAAATCTAACGCTTTAATTGTGTTGTTTTTGTACAGATTATCTGGGCAGTCGTCTGAGTGCGGCCTGGGAGAACGAATTGGAGCAGAAGCGGAAAAAGAAGAAGAATCCCAGCCTGTTGCGCGCCTCGATGAGCGTTTTCGGCTGGCGCTTTGCCTGGCTGGGATTTGTGCTTTTTGTAGTGGAAATTGGATTCCGGTAAGGTGGACACGCCCTCTTCGTCGTGCCCATAAATATTCATTTATCAATATTATTTATTTGCAGAGTCACACAACCGCTCTTTCTGGGCGGTCTCGTCTCCTACTATGCGGACTCGAGCAACCAGAACGACGACAATCAGACCAAGGCCTATCTGTACGCCTTGGGCGTAATTTTGTGCAGTGCCCTCAATGTCCTCTTCATGCACCCCTATATGATGGGCATACTCCACACGGGCATGAAGATGCGCATTGCGATGTGCAGCATGATTTATCGGAAGGCGTTGCGTTTGAGTCGCACAGCATTGGGGGATACGACTATCGGACAGGTTGTAAATCTCATATCAAACGATGTTGGACGCTTGGATGTTTCCGTAATTCATATGAATTATTTATGGTTGGGACCACTCGAAATTGGAATTATTACATGGCTGATGTACCGTGAGGTAAGTGAAGCGCATGTTTAGACAAATAAACTAATTTTTCAAATATTGCTTGTCTTTATATAAAATGTGAGTGAAGCTAAAGGGCTGACATTTGTTCTAAAAGAATGTAGAGAAATTTAACCCTAATGTTGGGGAAAATTTAGTTCAATGGTCAAATAGGGGAAATGTTTTTATTCAGTTTTCATGTCTGATCTGATTGGATTCAATAAAAAATAGTTAAGATTTGTGGACAATTTTCATGGCATTTAGTAAAACGTTTTACCCCAAAAAAGGGTGCAACTGTTATGTCTCACTACATAAGAAGTTTTTTTTTTGTTTTCACTACATAAGAAATATTTGGTGGGGGGCGTACTTATACTACAATATAAATGAGTTCGTTGAATTTAAAATAAATGAAATCACTGGCACTTACGTGGGCTTTAATCATTTTTTCTTGTAGTTTGTAGAATTAGTTTCGCTGTCTAGACAGTCCTTAGGATTACCGGTTTGTTTATCTTAAGCTCCCCTTCTCTTTTTCTTATTGGTTCTCGTTTTCGTTTTGTTTTCCATTCTGGCAGATTGGCATTGCGGCGTTCTTTGGAGTCGCTGTCATGTTGCTCTTCATACCACTACAGGCGTTTTTGGGAAAGAAGACATCGGTGCTGCGCCTGCGCACCGCCCTGCGTACAGATGAGCGCGTCCGAATGATGAATGAGATCATTTCTGGTATACAGGTTATAAAGATGTACGCCTGGGAGATACCCTTCAGCAAAATGATTAATTTTACGCGTCGCAAGGAAATGAATGCGATCCGCCATGTCAACTATATACGAGGCACACTTCAGAGTTTCATAATGTTTGTCACACGCATCTCTGTGTTTGTCAGTCTCGTGGGTTTCGTGCTGCTCGGCCAGCTGCTGACAGCGGAGAGAGCTTTTGTGATCACTGCCTACTATAATATATTGCGAAATACGATGACCATCTACTTTCCCATGGGCATCTCACAATTCGCGGAGCTGTTGGTCTCCATTGGCCGCATTCAGAAGTTCATGTTGCATGAGGAGACAAAGGTGCGCGATAAGTCTCTGGATGCTGAGATCAATAATCAGAAACTGGGCAAGGGCGCTGGCTCTCTAGCCTTGGAACAACAGAATCCCGGCAATAATGGCGTTCTGCAGCCCTCCAATCCGAGCAGTCGTCGACAGAGTCAAGCGGATCATGGCATACATATCAGCAAACTGAAGGCCAAATGGGATTCCAAGGCCACGGAATACACTTTAGATAATATTAATTTGAAATTTAAGCCCAGGCAGCTGGTGGCGGTTATCGGACCAGTGGGTTCCGGCAAATCCAGTCTCATTCAAACAATTCTAGGGGAACTGCCCGCCGAGTCCGGCTCGGTGAAAGTCAATGGTACGTTCTCCTACGCCTCCCAGGAACCCTGGCTCTTCACAGGCACTGTGCGTCAAAACATCTTATTCGGGCTGCCCATGGACAAGCATCGTTATCGGACAGTGATCAAGAAGTGTGCCCTGGAACGTGACTTTGAACTCCTTCCCTATGCCGATAAGACTATTGTGGGAGAGCGTGGAGCGTCTTTGTCGGGCGGACAAAAAGCTCGAATTAGTTTGGCACGCGCTGTTTATCGCAAGGCGGACATCTACTTGCTAGACGATCCCTTGAGTGCTGTGGATACCCATGTGGGTCGGCATCTATTCGATCAGTGTATGCGCGACTTTCTGCGTGAGGAAATCGTGCTGCTAGTCACACATCAACTGCAGTTCCTAGAGCAAGCAGATCTCATTGTCATCATGGATAAGGGCAAGGTTAGTGCCATGGGTACGTATGAGTCGATGTCCAAGAGCGGTTTGGACTTCGCCCAACTGCTGACCGATCCCAGCAAGAAGGATGAGGGCGGTGGCGATGCATCCAACAAGAAGAACCTGTCCCGCCAAAATAGCAAATTGCGTGAGCGTCAGAATAGTGTGTCCTCCATGGAATCGGCCGCAGAATCCCTGGCCATGGAATCACCCATGCAGGTGCAGGAGTCACGTGAGGAGGGCAAGATAAGCTTTGGCCTCTATAAGAAGTACTTTGGCGCCCAGGGCATAACGCTCTTCCTGATCTTTGTGTTCTTCCTAATTGGCGCGCAGGTGCTGGCCTCTGGTGGAGATATCTTTCTCTCCTACTGGTAAGTTAGCTAAACTTTAAGGATAAACGCTGAGCTTAGCTTTAAATTGATGCTTGCAGGGTCAACAAATCCGGCGATAGTGCTGCAGAGACGTTAATGTCGCGCTTGCGCCGCGCTTTTAGATCTCAGATGCGAATTAATAGTGACACCGATCCCAAGGATATTTACTACTTCACTGCCATCAATGTGTCTGTGATTATATTTGCTTTGGTGCGTAGCTGGCTGTTCTTCTTTATGGCCGGCCGATCCTCCACAACACTGCATAACTCCATGTTCCATGGTGTGACCCGTGCGGCGATGCATTTCTTCAATGTGAATCCTTCGGGCCGTATATTAAATCGTTTCTCAAAGGATTTGGGTCAGCTGGATGAGATACTGCCCTCGGTCATGATGGATGTAATGCAAATCTTTCTGGCCCTTCTCGGCATTGTTGTCGTTCTCTGCATCGTTAATCCCTGGTATATTCTCTTTACGGCTATACTGGTTGTCATTTTCTACTTCTTGCGCACCTTCTATTTGAAAACGTCGCGTGATGTCAAGCGCCTGGAGGCCATAAGTAAGCTAACCACCATTGATCAACTTCTTGTCCAATAATAATTATATTCCCTGGCTTTTCCCAGCCCGCTCACCCATCTATTCGCATTTGGGCGCCTCCCTCACCGGACTCTCCACCATACGTGCTTTTGGCGCACAGCGAGAACTCATCGCGGAGTTCGACAACTATCAGGACATGCACAGTTCCGGCTATTATATGTTTCTGGCCACCAGTCGCGCCTTCGGCTACTGGTTGGACTGTGTGTGTGTCATCTATATAGCGATGATCACGCTGAGTTTCTTCCTCTTCTCGCCCGAAAACGGAGGCGATGTGGGTCTGGCCATCACCCAAGCCATGGGCATGACTGGCATGGTCCAATGGGGCATGCGCCAATCGGCCGAGCTAGAGAACACCATGACGTCGGTAGAACGTGTCACAGAGTACGAGGATCTGGAGCCCGAGGGCGAGTTTGAGTCGCGACCAGCGAAGAAGCCACCAAAGACCTGGCCCGAGCAAGGCAAGATCGTGTTCGATGATCTCAGTCTGCGCTATTTCCCAGATCCCAAGGCCGACTATGTGCTCAGATCGCTGAATATTGACATCAAGGAACGCGAAAAAGTTGGCATTGTGGGACGTACGGGTGCTGGCAAATCATCGCTCATCAATGCCCTCTTCCGGCTGTCCTACAACGAGGGTTCCGTCATCATTGACAGCCGCAACACCAGCGAACTGGGTCTGCACGATCTGCGCAGCAAAATCTCGATTATACCTCAGGAACCAGTGCTCTTTTCCGGTACCATGCGCTACAACCTCGACCCATTCGACGAGTACTCCGATAATAAGCTCTGGGAGTCTCTGGAAGAGGTCAAGCTGAAGGAGGTGGTCGCCGAGCTGCACGGCGGTCTGCAAGCCAAAATCTCCGAGGGTGGTACCAACTTCAGTGTCGGACAGCGCCAATTGGTGTGCCTGGCACGCGCCATTCTCCGTGAGAATCGCATTCTGGTGATGGACGAGGCTACGGCGAACGTGGATCCACAAACCGATGCGTTAATCCAAACCACAATTCGAAATAAATTCAAGGACTGCACAGTGCTGACCATCGCCCATCGTTTGCACACCGTAATGGACTCCGACAAGGTGTTGGTGATGGACGCGGGTCGGGCGGTGGAATTCGGTTCGCCATTCGAACTGTTAACGGTGAGCGAGAAGAAAGTCTTTCATGGCATGGTTAAGCAAACCGGCGATGCGACTTTCGATGCGCTGCTCAAGGTGGCTCAGAAGGTAAGTTCCAGTCCGGTTGATAGTCAAACTATGCTCAATCCCAAACTCTCTTCACAGGCACATGAGGATAATTTGCGCGCCAAAAAGGATTCTTGACATTTCGCCGTTCCGAAGGCATTCAAAGACTACATACTCAAAATACTGGAACCAATCACAAACCACCCGGCGGCTAATGCACGCATTCAGAAGACCTTTCTCTTTGCCGAGGCATCCAAACAGAAACTGTTGGGATAACATTAACGCATGCGAATGCTGTCCGACAGGCCGCACGCAGACCTCTAATAGAATCAAACAAAAGAATTTTATATATATACATATATAAATGTACAAATCATACAATTAATGTTCAGATTAGAAACTAAACTTAAAGAGATGGACAATAAGAAAGAGAGAGAGAGAGAGATAGAGAGCGCGGTTTAAAGAAAATCAAATCAATGCCAGTGCATGGAATGAAACCTGTTTTTTACCTGAAAAAAAGAATTATAAATAATAATATTGTGCAATAAACTAATTTTAGCTAAGCGCATGTCTGGTCTTCAAAAGACCTAATCGGCGCGGATATGTGTTCCAGTAATGACAATAAAAATATAAAAAAAAAACCTTGAATGGAAGAAAAACTATAAACTGTTACGCCTAGTATTAACGTATGTGTGTTTTTATAGTAATTTATATGATAATGTATACAATAAATGTAACATTTTATTAAATATGCTTTCATTTTTATTTTGTTTAATTTCATTTCCAACGATTTCGATTTCTATTTCGAATTAATGTACAATTAGACTTGCATTTCTTTTACAAAGAAAATTTATGCATTTAAATGTAAACAAATGAAACACAAGTATCTTCCATTAGCGACAAAGTTCACTTTTAAAAGCAAATCAGATATTTTCCATTAGCGCGTGTGTGATGTTCGCCAACAGCTGCTGCCGTGGCATTAAACAAATTAAAAAAAAAAAAAAGATAAGTCTAAAAACTGCTAATATAAATATTTATAATTATATGTATTATTAACACATTAAGGACGCATTAATTTAGCGGCTTGTAAACTAATGCAACTTTTACTTAGCTTAGCTTAAGTTATCTGCATCTTAATGGTTTACCTTTGCATAAATATTACTCTCATGCAGCTGAGAAGTGTAGACCTGTAATTCGAACTAAAAGACCAAGGACATCCAGGCGGCAATCAGGAAGAAGCCACCAATGGTGGCATAATGCTGCAATTTCTTATCACCCGTCAAGGCGCGATAATACATGCAGCCGCTGAAGAGGACCGTGCCCGTGGCCATAAGTACGCCGGTCTACAAAAAGAAACATCAAATCAATAATTAGTATGAGTTATAAATACAATTAGTGGGTAGTACCGTCAATTACTTTAAGCTCTGTGCATTTACTTGAGTGTTAGTGTTAGGACAATAATATTGTGCGCGCAAACAATATATAGTATTTGATGTTAGCTTTAGATGTTGTTGTTTATTTTAGTTTTTCAGGTAAGAAACACAAACAAAAAGAAAAGAAAACGCTCAAAAAATACATTTTACTTATTATATAAGGCTGATGAATACTTAAAAATGAGAACAACAAATTGAAATTCAATGATGGCATTACCATAAATATTTAAGCTGTCTTTTGGTACGTTTTTTGTAAACAAATACAAATATAATTATACTAAATAAATGTGTATAGAGCCCCGATTCCATATCATCTAAGAAACAAATGCCCATATCAGCCGAATATTTCAAACTGAAAAATTACTTTTAAGCTGCAATTAGTGGTTGTTGAACACTTAGCTTTAGCTTTTCAGAAATGCATTATATACATATATATATATATATACACACATATATAGATCGTTTGAAGGGGAATGAGTCAATTTTCAAAAACGCTTAGCAAATCAATGTTCGTACATACATATGTATATGTTTCAAATTTTTTGTAAGTGAAACCAATCAGCACTTAGAGAGATGGTCAATTAAATAGAATCAATGTTGAAAACTAAAGAAAAAACACAGCATGCTATCATAAATAATAACTGAACAATTATGTCAATACAGAAATACAAAAGTAACGCGAGTTGTTGTAAATTCCGTTCAAAGATTTAACTTTACAAATTTAAATGGTTTGTAAACAAATACCGAAAAGCTTTACAAGAAGAGTCAATAAAAAGTAAATAAATGTGCAAAAAATAAACTGAATTGTCTTTTGCTTTCAAATATAACTGCGATGCCCAATTGCGCTTCTTTGTCGAAATTGTCCTTAGAAGATTACAAAATTAATGAAAAATAAAAATTATTTTTGTTTGAAAAAATCATTTCTCTATGCGAAAAATATGTTTAATGTTTGCGATCCTTCAACTTAAACTCAAATATTCATTTAAATTCAATCCTAATTGCATTTTTAAGAAAATAAATATCACCATATAATATTATTATATTTAATGGTTTTTGTTTCAAAAATATTGAATTCGATTTTCAATTGATTTTTTTTACAAAAATAAATTTATAAAAAAAATTTCAACACAAATTAATAAAATATATATGCAATGTTCAATTTTTTTGTTTATAACTAAATAGAAAATAAATATTATTTTTAAATCTACTTTAAAGATGAAAAGCTTCATAGTGGATCAAAGCCCCTTTTTTTACTTTTGCATTTAAATAATTTAGTTGAAGTAAAAAAATTGCATTCTCAAGTGCTAATAATCTACAAAATTGTTGGGATTAAGATCGATCATTGGGAAAAAACCATTATTCCCTGTACCCGATGGTTAATTAAATCTTTATTTTTTTTACCCTGGTGTTTTTATTATTTTAATTTAGTTTAAATAATAATAAGCATATTTTTAATTTTTTAAATTCAAAAGGTTAGATTTTTCTGTACTTGCTGGACTTTTTCTAACATGTTGAAAGTCGAAATGGAATATTCCAAAATGAATGATCCTGTATTCAAGAATTAAGTTATTAAGGACTTAAAGAGAAATACATATATCGGACTACTGAGAATAGAATTCTATACAACAAAGTCAAAAAAAGAATAACATAAACGGTAACACCGTTTTTTATATTTTATACATATATATTTTTATACATATGTATGTATGTATGTAAGAAGGTAAGGTATTTTGATAAATGTAAGAATAAATTGATTTACTTACAAATATGGGGTAATGAGCCAGCGGCATTGCCATTAAGGCAAAGGAATGCAGGAAATGTATGCGATTAGCCACATCGCCGAATGATTGACTCTCCAGCTGCTCCTTTGGGTCGCTAATGTCCTTGAGAAAATATTTGCAATAAGCGCCCATAAAAATGGCCGACGCGCCGCTCAAGCCGGCGAGCCGCACAAAATGGTAGTTGCGACCGGCATAGGTGTACAAAGAGCTCTGAGCCACCACAATTTGTTGATAGGCCTCCTTAATTGGCGGTGCTTCGGGTGGGGGCAGCGTCTTGGGACGCAGACCCTGAAATTGCACAAAATTCCAAGATGTTGACGAAGATTTTTTTGTTTTGCAGTAATCTGATACTTACGAAGCTGCGAAATATTGCGCTTGTAGACGATATGACGGCGCGACTCAACGGGTTTCCCAGTGTTATATAGTCGAGCGTATCACCAAGTGCCATTATTGTGCGGTTTATTTCAGTTTATTTAAATTGGTAATCACAAAACTCACTTGCCGCTGGACCAGCTGTGGCCACCTACGATATAAATTTTTGTGTATGTGTGCTTGTGTGCGTTGACATGGAATGTACGGCGTTGCCACCGTGCCAGCAAGCCACAACTTTTACGTTATTCAGCTATACGGACTGTATATATATAAAAGTTGGCAAAGAAATGCATGTGATGTTGATATATGTATATTCGTTTTTGTGGAGCTATTTTTATGTTTTTCTGTGGCCGAGTAACCGATTTTTGTTTGAAAATGTCACAGCCAAATAGCCTGGCAGCATCATAGATGGCCTGTCAGGCAACGCTGACATTCTGCTTTTAAATACTTAGTTGACAGTGCAGTTTTGCCATTTAGAATTTGCCGGCACAGCGAGCGCTTTTAATTGTGTAAACAGGAGGCAATTTATAAAGTTGTTGTTGGTGATAGCAAGTTGCTGCGCTTATCTGCATATCGGTGAGTAGTTCAGTGATCCAAAGGCGTCTGTGAGTCAATTCCATATGCACATCTCATTAACAGGGGCTGAACAATGAAATATTACGTATGTTTCATCGTCGTTGCGGCGGCAATTTGCGCCGCGAATGCGATTCTAGGTCCACAGCCTCGCCGTCGTTCCTTTATTAATCCCTATCCACGACTCAAGTTGTTCACAGACAACGTTGATCCTGGCGAGCCGCTCTTCCTGACGTCCTTCATCCGTAATGCCTCGTTGCCAAGGCAAGACGTACAACAGATGGCTCAGGTTGTGGGCACACAGTTTCATGGCGTTGAGAGCTATGCGGGCTATCTAACCGTTGATCCCAACTACAACTCAAACATGTTCTTTTGGTATTTCCCCGCTGAGCAGGATCCGGACAATGCGCCCGTAATTTTGTGGCTGCAAGGTGGTCCCGGTGCCTCTTCCCTTTTCGGGTTGTTTACTGAGAACGGCCCACTGGAGGTGGATGCGCATGGCAAGCCGCAAAAGCGCAAATACTCGTGGAGCACAACGCACAATCTAATCTACATCGACAATCCTGTGGGCACCGGCTTCAGTTTTACCGATCAGGATGCAGGTTATGCCCGCAATGAACGCGATGTGGGCCGCAATTTGCACGAAGCCGTCATGCAGCTGTACGAGCTGTTTCAATGGAGCAATTCTACGGGCTTTTGGGTCACAGGTGAATCATATGCCGGCAAATATGTGCCAGCATTGGCATACCACATCCACAAAGTGCAAAGCGCCATTGAGCAGCGTGTCTATATTCCACTGAAGGGAATGGCTATTGGAAATGGGCTTTCGGATCCGTTGCATCAGCTGAAGTATGGCGATTATCTCTATCAGTTGGGACTAATCGATGACAACGCCCTGATTCAGTTCCATGACGCTGAAGCTAAGGGTGCGGCCTGCATCAAGAGACACGACATGGACTGCGCTTTCGAAGTCTTCGATACCCTTATACTGGGTGATCTCACTAATGGCTCGCTCTTTTCCAATCTAACCGGGTATACTTGGTACTATAATTACCTAAAAACTGAAGACGACGGCTCCGGTATAAAGATGGGCGAATTTCTGCAGTCGGGCGTTACACGTCGGGCCATCCATGTGGGCAACAAGACCTTCCACGATCTAGACAAGGAGAACAAAGTCGAGGAGTTCTTGAAACGCGATGTCATGGACACGGTGGCCCCTTGGGTGGCGGAGCTCCTGCAGCATTACACCACCTGCATCTACAATGGCCAATTGGACATAATTGTCGCCTATCCACTGACGCGCAATTATCTGAATCACTTAAAGTTTCCCGGCTCCGATCGCTATAAGGTGGCTCCCCGAGAGATTTGGCGTGTTGATGGCGAAATCGCTGGCTTTGTGAAGCACGCCGGACATCTGGTCGAGATAATGGTCCGTAACGCTGGGCATATGGCGCCCCACGATCAGCCTAAATGGATGTATGAGATGATCAATCATCTCACACACTACAAGCACTAGATTATAAATTGCAATGGGCCCGCGAGCTTTAAACAATATTACACACTTTGTTATCTGATCAAATTTTATAACATGGGTTATGCAATAAAATATAAATGTAATTTTTAAAAGAAATGTTAACTGATCAAAAATTTTGAGCAGATAATTGATTTTAAATAAAAAAATAATATATTTTTTAATCAGTTGTGTAACTATTCTTTCAGTTCTTTTAGAAAGGTGCTGCGAACTTTTCAAAGTAACGCGAATGACTCGAAAATCGTGAATCGGAAAACTACAAGATCAAAAAGAATTAACTAGCTACGTACTGCTTTCTTTTTGTGTACCCTTAAAGCTACGCGCTACTAGGAAGTGTTCGGCTGAATCGCTGCGACTCGCTCTTGGCTTGACGCGCTTCACCTTCTCGTAGAAGCGTAGGATATCCCGCTCTAGCTTGGGCACATCTCCATTATCCCAGACCTTGACCACCAAGTTGGCATGCGGCGCCGACATGGATATGGCAAAGCGCAGCACTACATAGCACAGATTGATGATGTTTTCTTGGTCGAGCATGCGAATCCCCGTGGCATTCGGCGCCATGTCGGACAATACACAATTAACGGGCCGATCGCCCAGCGCCTCCCGTAATCTTTGCTGCGAGGCGGGTTTGGTAAAGTCCATGCCACCGAAAATTGTGGCGCCCTACCAAAGCATTATTAAACGACTTACATGTGTAAATATATTTAAACTGCACTCACCGGCACGGCATGAAAATGCAGCCGATCGATGCTGAAAACAGCGCCGACGGGCGCCTTTTCTATGTTTCCGGTGGCATTGGTGCGTTCGACGGCCACTTGGCTCCAACTGCCTGGTGCTGCTCCACAATCCAGAACCGCATCGCCGGGTTTCAGAATTTTGTATTTGTCGTCGATTTCCAGCAACTTAAAGGCGCTGCGGCAACGAAAATTCAACATTCGCGCCTTCTCCACATACGGATCCGCCAATTGGCGTGTCAGCCAATCCTGGGAGCTCTTGCTCTTCCCCTTCAGATTGTGGGGCTGTTGCTTAGCATATTGTAGGCTGGTGTGTGTCTGCAGCAGTCGTTTAATTAAAAAATTCCTCATAATTGTGCCTCATCGCCTAGAATTCGGTTCCCAAACAATGCCAGCTGTTACACTATGCAACAAAATTTGACTTCCAATTGTAGATTTCATTAACAAAGTCTGCCAGTTACATTCGGTTAGTGGATGTGTTTAGGCTTAGTTTAAAGGCAGTTATATCCATTTTCATTCTTAATTTATTATTTCGCTGCGGCTCCTTCATCAATTACTATGGCGCGTAACTGTGTCCGCTAGATGGCATTTTCTGAGATTTGTTCCCAGCTGTTGACGGGTTTTTCTTACCACGCCGGACGTTGGCGTTGCCACTCCGCCTTTTTTTTTTAAATAAATTAACAACCAATTTGAGTAACTGTTTTGTTTATACACAGTAATCAGCTATAGTCCCAATCCTAAACCACTTATGTACTAATAATTATGCTCATTCTAGTACCCAGTGAAAAAGTGAGTGGTATCAACAAATATTCTCAATTGATTGACTGTCTTATACTATAAATTGGGCCTAAATTATTTTTACGAAATTTTAGATTAAAGCTATAGACAGCCATGCAAACAATAAGCACCTCAATTTATCGAATATTTTATAGTTATTGTGCCATCAAACCCAATCAAATTTCTGAACTAAACAGTTTTTTGTTAGTTTTCTGCTATTTGGCATTTGCTTCTTAGGGTCTACTTGTAAATTTTGTGTGAATTCTTTGCACGCATATTACCCTGATTTATCTTCAATCTAGACAAATAACTTCTTAAGTTCCATACCAAAAGAGGTAATTAAATTAAGAACAGAACTCTACTTATAAAGCATTTGTCACAATCGCATTCTTGTGGCTTATAGATTTTTAAATGCTTCGCTATATCGGACTTAAGCTGTTCCTTCAATAAAAAACCTTATACACTTTTATAAGCTATTTTTATTGATGCGAAAATTATCGCAGAGCCCATGAATGTACATTTATTTATTTCAAAATAAAATTCAATCAAAGTCTTTCACTCTAGTGGTACGGAAATAAATATTTATGTCTGGCTGTGATTCGTGTTTTTGGATTTTAAATGATTAGTTTGCAGAACAAATCGGACACACAAATTCAAGCGAGTATATGCGGCTCAGAATTTCATATACTTGTGACTAAAACTTTGATCCCATTAGTAGTAGTTGTATTAAAGCGCTATAAGACTTTATGAACACGAAAAAACAAATAGTAGGCCGTTATTTTGCAATACAATTTATTACTCTTGCTCAGAAAAAGTTTATAAAATGGCAGCGCCAGACCCGTATAAAATAGTGATCGTCGGCGATGGATATGTAGGCAAGACCTGCTTGCTACTCTCCCATATTACGAATGAGTTTCCCGGCGGATACGCGCCTACAATTTTTGAGAATTATTCATGCCAAATCGAGGTGGACTTCAAAGAATACACTCTATTGTTGTGGGATACGTCTGGGCAGGAGATATATTCTTGCATAAGAACCCTATGCTATCCGAATGTAAGTAAGCTTATCATGTTTCTAAAAGGACTACACTATTTCCTTACCGCAGACGAAATGCTTCATAGTATGCTATGCGATCGATAATCGGCGTTCCTTTGAAAATGTTAGACATAAATGGGTGCCAGAAATACGCGAACTCACACAATCTAATAACGTCTCCATCTTGGTAGTGGCTGCCAAGTCCGATTTGCGCGCAAACAATGCAACCGAGTGTGTTACCACAATGGAAGGCATATCTCTATGCAAGGAAATAAAAGCTGATTGCTTTGTCGAGTGTTCGGCACGGAGCAAAAGGAGTAACAGTGTGTTTGTTCAGGCTATACGCATTATAAAGCGAAAAGAGTGCCGCAAGTCGTCTAGGTGCCAAATACTCTAACAATAATACATCGTTTGCGAGCTGCTATGAAACAAAGGAATGGTTTTACATGTCCGTTTTAAGTTTTTTTTCGAATGGTACCATTAAATTTCGTTATATTTTACAAACATAAAGTTATTTTTTTTTAAATAGCATTTAATATTTTTTTTTAAATAGCATTTAATTAAATTCTATGAATGGCCGTTTTATCTGTTGAAAATAAATGTATTAATCAAAGTGTATTGAACGTTTATTCGTAAATTTTTATAAATGAAAGTTACAGTTGGAGCTAACAAATTAAAACCAGTTGCAGGAATCCCACTAAAAAGGTGCATTACTGGTTTATTATAAACCGTTGGTCATCGTTCGAATAAAACAGATGGGTAGCACTGTATGGCTATCTTTTTACCTTTGCAGCCCTGCACAAATATCGAAAAGGGGCAGCTTTTCACATCACTAGTGTCGGACGAAAGAAGTAAACCGCTAGTTGACAAGTTATTAAAAATGAGCGGGGAAAAGGCTGAAAAAGCCAAAATATCTACACAAATTAAACATGTGCCAAAGGATGCACAAGTTATAATGTCCATATTGAAGGAAATGAACATACAGGAGTACGAACCAAGGGTAGTAAATCAGCTGCTGGAATTCACATTTCGTAAGTTACCATAAAAACATAACAAACCACAATTATCATGACACTCTCGTATGCCCTGCAGGTTATGTGACCTGCATATTGGACGATGCCAAAGTCTATGCGAACCATGCGCGCAAAAAGACCATTGATCTGGAGGATGTAAAACTAGCCACAGAAATGGCGCTGGACAAGAGCTTCACAGGTCCACCATCGCGACATGTTCTGGCAAAGGTGGCCGAGCAGCGCAATTCGATGCCCTTGCCACCGATCAAGCCGCATTGTGGCTTACGTTTGCCACCAGACCGTTACTGCCTAACCGGCGTCAACTACAAGCTGCGCGCCACAAATCAACCGAAGAAAATGACCAAATCGGCGCTGGAGGGGCGCACTATAAAGACTGTGGTTAAGCCCGTCTCTAGCGCCAATGGACCCAAACGCGCACATCCGATAGTGGGCAAACAGCAAGTCGTTACCATTCCCAAGCCAGTCATTAAGTTTACAACAACAACCAAAACCGTCTCCGCCGTAGAGGTGAAAAATGAACCGGCTGGAGGGGACATGAAAATGGAGGTGGACACAGACGCCGCAGCTGTGGGCAGCATTGCTAGTAGCAGCGTGGCCGTAAAACGGGAGCGTGATGAGGACGATTTCGAGTTTGTAGGCAATTAGATGAACATTCGCATACAAATATATATATTCGAATAAATTCAATGTGCTTACGAACTAAACAAATACAGGAATGTGAATGTGTTATTCATTTGAGTGCCAACATTATTTGACAGCCGAGATCCATGATTTGCAGATACTCGGAGCCGCCATCCTGCAACCTGAAAGCGCACTCCTGCAAAAAAAAACTTTATTAGAGAGGGAATTGTTTCAAACGGCTATCGGCCACTTACACCCAACTTGTCACATATGATGGCCTTTTCCTTGTCGGTGAGCGTTTCAGCGCGCACTATGAACTCCACAAGCTGCTCCATCATTTGACCCACGCTATATGCCGAGTACCCGATTTCAGCCACAAATTCCTCCAATTTCTCATATTTGCCCGAACGGCAAACTTCCAAATAGTCGTGAAGATAACTCTCCGGTATAATACCCGACATCTCGAGAAGATCGGCTGAACTTACGCAATGCTCAGCACCCTTTAGGCGATAGCAGGACTGCAATGTGGTTATGGCGCGCCGCATATCGCCGCCAGATATCTGCACAATGGACTTGTAGGCGTCCGGCTCGATCTTGACGCCCTCCAGCTCACAAATGTGCTGCAATCGTGCAATGATTTTCTCCTCCCCGAGTGGCTTGAAGCGAAACTTGGTGCAACGTGAAGTTATGGGCACAATAATTCGCGATACATAATTACAGACCAGACAGAAGCGTGTGCTGCGACTCTCCTTTTCCATGGTGCGACGTAAAGCCGCTTGTGCCGCATGCGTCATGGAATCGGCCTCATCCAACACAATTATCTTGAAGGGCGGACATGGACGACCATCGGGACGCACACCGCTCGCTGTTAGTTGCGCGAAATTCTTGATTTTGGTGCGCACCACATTAATGCCACGCTCATCGGAGGCATTCAGCTCCAGTATACGATCGCAGTACATATCGCCAAAAATTTGACGAGCTGCGGCCAGAATGGTGCTCGTCTTTCCCGTACCTGGAGGACCGTAGAGAAGCATATTGGGCAAATCGGCTCCTTCGACACATTTACGCAGCACAGCCACAACTTCTGCCTGCTCGACCACATCTTCCACGCTCCGGGGCCGGCTATTAGGAAGCAAAACAATTATAACCACAACAACAAAAAGCTTAAATGCTCTTACTATTTCTCCACCCAGGGTGCCGGGGGCTTGCGACGTTCCGTAACGGTTGGTTTCTCCTTCTCTGAAGCGCTGGCAGTGGCTACAGCGGTTTTACTGTTTTTTAGAAATGCCTGCATTTTGTATAAAATATTTGCACTTGCATCAAAATTTTGGCGCGAGCTGCAACAGCTGTTTCTAGCCCTGTTGTTTTGCGTCGCCAGATGGGTAGCACTGTATCGCAGGCTAGTGCTGGTTAAGGCCTGTTGTTGCTGACACTACGATGATGTGGAACTAATAGCGAACAAATTCAAGTTTAAGAAAGGGAATAATGGAGGAACAGGCATAAAAGATAGGACTTTATAATGGATATAACGCAACAGTTCAAGGCCAGCGTCATGACGGTGCGTCTGCATCGCAAATCCGAAATGACATCAAATAAAACGCAAGACAAGCAACAGCAGCAACAACAAAAACGAATCAAGTCTGGAGGATCTGGAGCGTCAGGTCTACGCGATGACTTTGCCAAACAGGCCAAAGATGTGTGCAACAAAATAAGCACACTGCGCAACGTGCTCATTGAGAATCGTACCGCCTATATGCGTATAGGGCAGCATTTGAAGAGCGCAGCACATATGACCGACAGTCAGCGAGATTTGATTGATCGGGAATCGGAGAAATTCGTCACGTACTACACACAGCACCTGGCAAAGATGCGCAGCGACTGGAAGAGTGCTAAGCGAAAGCCACAGGAGCGTCAGCACATCGAGGCGGTGCTAGACCTGCTGGTCAGCTATTTGCACAGCGTCGAACAGATCTATCTGGATCAGAAGAAGTATCGGGTGCAGCACGAGCTGGAGACCTATAGGCTGCTGAAGCTGGCCGCCGACAAAAAGAAAATACCAGTGCGTCCAGCAGGCGCCAAAAGTGGAAAGTTGAAGAAGCGTCAGCTAAGCAATGCCAGTGCCACAGCTAGCGACGAGGAGCAGCCTGATGCGACGCAACAGGTGGAAGCGGAGGATCATGGCGAGGACAACGACTGGAACAATGACAGTTGGGCCGAGTGGGATGACAACGACAATGAAAACGACGAGAAGTTGGTCAACGGAAGTCCACTAAAGGGTGGCCATAAGCCACGCCTGCGCAAACGTAGTCAGGCCAGCAAGCAGATCGATTCCTCGGCGAAGGTGGCTCTCGATGAGGAGCTGCAAAAGTCTGCACAACAGCAGGCCGACGATGAGGATGTCTTGAGTGCAGAGGATATGCAACTGTTTGAGGCGGAGAATGTGCATATCTATAATATGCTGCAGGGAGTCTCCGAGGAAGTCGAGCAGATTGAAAAGAACGTGGTGGACATAGCACAGCTGCAGGATATATTCACTGAAAAGGTGCGCACACACACAAGCAATGTCCGAGCTGAAAACCCACTAATGTCTAATAATTTCAGGTGGCGATACAGCAACACAATATCGAGCGTATTGCCAGTGCCGTTGTGGGCACCACGGAGAATGTGAAGGATGCGAATGAACAGATACGCCAGGCTACCCAGAGAAATGCTGGCTTGCGTGTTTGGTCCTTGTTCTTCTTGCTGGTCATGTCGTTCTCCTTGTTGTTCCTGGACTGGTACTACGATTAGATGCTCTTGCGAAACTTCTTTTGTATACACACCCCGAAAATCATTTGATTAAAATAAAACTAATTTCCTATAGCGTATCGCTTTTCTATATAATGGATATAATGGTTCCACAGTTTGCCATTTCTTCAACGTTGGTTTTATTTATAATTCTTAGCCTATACATATATAGTAATTGTTTTGATATGATAATATGATACATTTTAATGTTTAAAAAGTGATCCCGTGGTCGCATCGTTCCAAAGTTGTCAACCAAATCGAAAGCCTTTATTATGTAATAAGAAAACAAATCTCCAGAGCTGCCGATTTATGTAAAACATAAAATTTAGAATATCAATATATATCCTAGCGGTTCTTTCTTATGATTTTCTTATGTCAAGTGCCAAGTTCTGTAATTTTATTTTCAAGCCCAATAGTCAACTGTTTATAAAACAAAATATAATTGTTTCTGAAACCTTTTAATTTCATGTACCTTTTACTAAATGGAAATTCGAAAACAATTTGTTTTTCAATGGGAAAGTTATTTGTTTTAAAAAAATCGCTAAAATCACATTTGCGCTTTAAGCAAACCACTTATTTTGTATAACAATTCGAAACAATCTTGTTTTTATTTACTTGAAATATTAAAAACTGAACCACAAGGCAAACTTCGAACTTTTCAACAATTTTTCCTCCATCTTTAACGAAACATCACTTTAATATTTAATCCCCAAAATCGGAAAAAGTGCTCGAAGGAAAAGAAATCTACATTTGACTGCCAAGAGCTTCTTCTTACTATTAATTATTATCATAAGTTTTTGAAAAAGTGATTAAACCAACAAAAAAAATCCAATTGATATTATCGCTGTTAGTTGTGAAAATAAAATGTGGAATAAATGAAAGACTATTTTTTGGAAGTCTCTAATTTGAAATAATAACTGTAAACTGCAGTGTTTTATTCTATAAATACATTTTCAGTATATTCTAGATACTTTTATTGTTTTACAAGTATTGTATTTATATTGCTACTTAAACATGTGTTGAAACAATTCTATATCATTGCAGTAGCATTACAAAATGTGTAAATTAAGCTAACACTAATTTTGTTTAGAGTGCTCTATTCAATGATCAAACTAAAACGAACTTATAGCGTCCAGATCGTATGATTTGGAAGCGTATAATAATACAAATTTCGTATTACTATATTTTTGTGTTTGCGAATCTCAAGTAACGTTCATTCATTTAATGAATACATAATTATGTAATATAGGTATGTGTTTTATTTATATATAGAAACTAGCTTACACATTAAGTTATACATATAGTTAGGGTTACTATAGTTCTGGTTCATATACGTGTATATAACCATTATTGTTATTGTTATATCATATCAAACGCAAGGTCGTGCCACACCTCTGTTGCATTCAAGGCAGTCTATTTGATTTTCGTATACCCTGTCCCGAAGCGCAAAACGAGTGCGAGAGAACGACGAGAGAACTCGATCTGTCGATCTAGTTTGCTTGGAGAGTACAGGGTATTTCCGTGTCGAGCTGGCTCTATTGTAGCATTCATTCTATCAATACTTTTATCTCTAGTTGCAATCATTCTGACAATGGAAGCGCAGTGTACATAAACTCGCTCCTTGGGAAAACATTTCGTCGCACTTGCACTTAAAAATAACAATAGTAGTACGAAGAAGGCCCATTGGCGTTCGAATACTGACGGCTGCCTGGTCCAGTTGTTTGTTGATTGTAGACAATATAATTATTATAAACTAAATAATAATGAGGCCCCATTGGTTATGGAGGCAGAACGTCCGCTTCTACTGTAATACTTGGAGGGCCAGTCGGCGACATGATGTTGCTCACATGACCATCATCGCTGCTCAGCGGCGTCAGGACGGTCTGCTCCACAGCATCGGCTACGACTATGGTGCCGGGTGATCCAACTCTATCTGATCCTACTGCTCCTGACTTGGCGGCTGGCAGCATGGACTGATCGTCGTTCAGAAACACGCCCAGCGGCAAATGCGAGTTCATGTGCGCTGCACAAAAATTAAAAAACACAATATTAATTATCGTATTAATATTAATGAAATATTTAAGGATAAATTACTGTGAGAAAAGGTTTTTCTAGCGCCAATTGGTGAAGAGCAGGCGGGGCAGGGGAGCGAGCTTTAGTCTAACTTTGTTACTACTTTCTAGTTAATATTATTCATAAGCATTTTGTACACAGAAAATCGAAAATTTACCACGAAAGCTCGTATAATGTAAAAAGGAGCGAGGACAGCGATCGCATTTGTAAAATAGCTCGCTGTTGTGTGTGCGTCGATGTTTTCGTAAATCTTTTACATACGTAAATGTGCAATCGCATTGATCGCACGGATAACCCAATTCTGGAATAAACAATGTATGGCTTTGTAGCTCGTCGTTCAGTTCTCAATCATAAAAGTACATTCTACACATTTTCCAGGGGGGTTTTCGGGCAACACGTACATACATACGATTTAACATTGAATAACATATTCGACTCTAACAGTCGGTATATCTGTGTGTCTAAGGTGCCCTTAACAGCAAGTTAACAGTGATTGTGTGTGTTTACATGATTCTGGTATTAACAGACACACATGTGAAGGGGAACGGATTGGAATGGAATGTAAAGGTTGTACGCATTTGTATTGAAATTGTGTTGGCAACGCTGTTTAGAAATAACAGCTTCACATTTTAGGTTAATAATGTTTTATTTACTTGCAAAGTACTATTAATAGCGAACAGATTCGGTTAGTGGAAATTCCATTTACTTTACGGGATAATAAATGAAGTTATGGTTTTCATTGGATTTTGAAACAAAAAGGCGTTAGAGGCTCTTCTGTTAGACCATTTGCGAATGCTTTCCCTAATGTGTTGCATTTCATTACAAATCTAATAAGTCTTGGTAAGCATGTCGATTTGAAGCTTAATTCTCTGCCTGATATTTTATAAAGCGAAATAGCAAGAGCGATTCAGCGTATTCACTTATCTCCTGACTGTTATTCGTTTTGGTAATCATCCAAATCATCCAGCCTTGAAGCCTTGATAAGATAATTAAGCAGCAAATTGACTTTAATTTAAAAACAGCTGTACATGCAATGGTAAATAGGAAGCTGGCGAAATATAATTCCACCATCGTGGGGGCGTTAATATACATGATTCTACATTTATTTTTGAGGCTTTCTCATCTTTCAAGTGCAAATTACAATTATATCTGTATCGACAGCCCATATTTGTTGATGCAATAGTAATAAAATGTAATATTTGAAATGAATATTTGTTGTCTAACGATTGAACTTTTGCAATATCGATAACAATTGGTTAGCTATCGAGAATTAAAAAGTGTAATCGCGGAATGAATTCGTTGGGAATCAACTACATGTAACGCTTATCAAGTGCCATCGATAGTGTTATTATTTTATAAAACTTTATTTGCTGAATGACTAATTTATTTCCTTCCTGATTGTTTAGAAAATCTAGGGTAGACAACACTTTTTTCTGCTTTATAAAAAGTGTTATATGTAGTACGCCTAAGTAATTATTAAATTGTTTAAAAACAAATAAAGTTCATGCAGTGCGCATTTATCGGGAGTGTTGCAAAGCTATATCTCTCGAGATTTCCAACTTAGCTTGTTAGTGATTAGTTTTTTAAAACTAGCGTTTATTTGTTGTGCACAAAAGCTGAGTTAGTTCTAGGCTAAGCATAATTTGTTTCCACTGTGCTCTTTCTTTCTAATTGTCATGGCAATGATTAGGGAGTTAGGCTTATTACCTCTGCTAGGGCGGATAATCACGGTCGAAAAAACTGTTATAGTGTAGAAATTACAACAACAATAATAACAATGGTTTGAGTTAGTAAAGGAAATACATTGCAAGCGAGTACATAGAGAAATATGTATTTCTCTATATTTCGTTTATGTATTAGACTGGACACTATAGTATTTTTAGAGCACTTGTGGGTAGGACTACCATTGGAAGCTACTACACCGATCTCCTCCGATACCACCACATGCGTGTGCGCATCCCAAACTTACCACCGTGAAACTTAATGTGCGTCTTCAAGGCGCTCTCCGTACCAAATTGTTTGCCGCACTCGTCGCATGTGTGCGGCTTCGAGAGCAGATGGACGGTGATCTTGTGGAGCGTGAGTTGTGACGGTCTCGGGAAGCGCACCCTACACAGATTGCACTCGTAGGGTCTGCCCTCGGCATCGTGAGATTCCATATGCCGTTGCAGGGCGGTGCGCATCCGGTAACCTCGCTTGCAAATGGAGCACACAAACGGCATAGTGGTCTGAGCACCGTGGGCCAACTGGTGATGCTTCCTCAGTGCAATATCGTTGGTGAAGCGCTCCTCGCAATAGATGCACTGATGGCCGGCACGCAGCTCGCTCTGCTGCAGTGTTGCGCCGCCATCGGTGGTTGACGACGATGGCGAGGAGGAGGGCGAGGGTGCCGGCGTGGTCTGTATGAGGGGCATTGGAGTGCCGGGTGCCGAAATCGACGTCGCCGGTGAAGGGACGCAAGGCGAGCTGCGACGCTTCCGAAACTGACGCAATGTGGTCGTGGAATCTGGCTCCGATTGCTCCGGACTGGGGAGCGTTATGTGTGGCGATGGTGTGGGTGATGGCAACGAGGCAATTGTTGTGGGTGGTGTTAAGACTGTGGGCGGTGCGGCCAGCTCATCATAGTGATGTTGATGGCCCTGACCATCGGCCGAGGTGCCTGACAGAGAAAGAGATTTTATAGATATATATATAGTATATAATTGGGTTTACAAATTGGTTCACAATCAACTACTTAATAAGTGATCTATTGTGAACTCGGGCTTCCCATTTCCAAACCCAAGCAACGTAACAAACATTGCAATTATCTAGAACTTTGGACTCTTTTTGACTCTTCTTACAAAAATAAGCTTAAAAGAAATCATGATATTTTAAATGGATGGATGCTCGCAAACACACATTTCGCACAGGAGGCTCTAAAATAAGACCTTTCCGAACATTATAGTATTTTAATTTGTATCGTTTCTAATAATAACAAAGAAATGTTGAATTTAGTTTCAAATATTCTGCATGCTTATAAAAATTCCGTTTCCTCTAATGCGGAATTGAATTTATGTATTTTCATCAATACGAGTACACTTTAACAAATTATTGAAATTATTGAAAATCACTAATGGCAGAGAAATGGGGGAAAAATATAATGAAAGGTCAAAGTTGTACTTTCTCGGACATAGGAGAATCTGCATACCAGGTTTGGTTATTCAAGATCTTATACTTTCTGAGATGCTTGCTTTCATACAGACGGACGGACGAACAGACGGACACCACTATATCACAAAACTTTTCATTATAAGGCTTTACATTCTTAAGAATTCGTCAACATTTTTGAGTTTTGCAAAGGAAAGACGCCATAACACGGCATGAAGTCGAAAGGTATGCAATTAATCAGAGCTAAGTATGTATGAAACATTTTCTTAAAAAGTAGACTTTATTTAAATTTACACTTGAAACCGATTGGTTTGCTGTATTTTTCTTGATTCCACTAACTTAAAGGCAAAGCTTTAAAAATGAAAATAAAATGGAAAAATTGGAAATGGGAACAGTGCGAATAATTTTACATTTTGTTACTTACAATCCTCGCAGTCGGGACAGCAAAGTATGCGCGACTTGCGTGGCAATCCGCTGCTTCCTAAGCCGCAAGCGACCATTCCTCCTCCTCCTCCGGCAGCTCCTCCACTGCTGCTGCTGCTGCTGCTGGTTCTCTCACAATGCATCGGTGTTAGCTCCACAGCTGAGAATACAATTGGAATTATGCACATGTTAAGGGTTAAGTGTGAATTTAAAAATAAGGCGAGTCGAGTCGAGGCGAGTCAAGTCGAGCCGCCAGCCACACACTCACTTGGTTCGGCCAATTGTAGTTGCACCTCCTCCACCCGCACAGCACCGTTGCCATGCGACGCTGACTGTGGTTGCGACTGCGACTGTGCCTGTGCCTGTGTCTGCGTCTGTGCCTGCCCCTGGGATGTGGTGGCAGCCTCTGGCAGTGCATGATAACGTTGCAAATGCAAGTCGAGAGCACGCTGGGCCGGAAACTCTTGTGCGCACTGACCACACTGGAAACGCTGGATAAAATGATGGGTGAGAATGTGCTGCGAGCGTTTGTTGCGTCCCGCAAACGACAGCGGACAGTGCGGACAATTGAATGGCGCTACGGCCGGATGCAGCTCGATAATGTGTTTGCTATACTCCAGGCTGCTGGTGAAACGTGGTCCATTATGGCAGAAGCGACACTTTAGCGAGATCATCCGATCCCGGCCGTTGGCCAACATTTCCAATTGCTGTTGTCGATACTGCTGTAGCTGTTGTATGCTTAATACTGTTTGATTTTGTACTTGAAGTTGTGATTGCTGTTGATGTTGCTGGTGCTGCTGTTGATGTTGCTGCTGCTGTTGTTGTTGTTGTTGTTGGTGGTGTTGTTGTTGTTGGTGTTGATGATGCAGCTCATTGCTAAAGGGCGGGCCATAGATTTGCAAAGGCGCCTGCTGCGGATTACTGGCCGATGCGACTGGCTGTTGCAGCTCTGGCTGCTGTATGAGTATCATAATTGGTTGATTTCCATGCTCCATATAACTTTCATTGGCTTCTAGCTGTTGCTGCTGCTGTTGTTGCTGCTGCAGTTGTTGTTGTAGATGTTGCGGCTGGAGCGTTGCATAGCTGGGCAATGTTTGATGCGTTTCTATTTGCTGAGTAATTGACTGTTGTTGCTGCTGCTGCTGCTGTTGGTGTTGCTGGTGATGGTGGGAAGCATAGAGATCGCTGGCGCTTATATAGTAAGTGGTTGTAGTTGTTGTTGCTGCGTTATTGTTGCCACTGTGCGTCAAAATATTGTCGACTTGTGTTGAGGTATTTATGGCCTCCAAACCGCCCACTGTAGACCATTGTAGTTGTGTTTGCTGCGGCACAAGTTGCTGCTGCTGCTGATGCTGCTGATGTTGGTGCTGATGTTGTTGCGTATAGAGATTTATTTGGGGCTCAGCGGGCACATTAATAAGCTGCAATTTGGCATTAGCCGTGTGAGTGGGCGTTGCTTGGTAAAGCGTTGTTGTTGCTGTTGCTGATGCTGCTGCTGCTGCGGCGGCTTCTACTGCTGTTGTGGCATAATTTACGTTCGCTGATTGCTCATAGGATGCAGTAGCAGTAGCAACGTGTTGCTGTGGCTCGTATAAATGCGAGGATTGTTGTTGTTGTTGCTCTGATGCTGCTGTTGTTGTTGCTGCTGTTGTTGTTGGTGGTGGTGGTGCTGCTGCTGCCGCCGTTGTCGTCGTCGTTGTGGGCTGCAGTTCATTGAGCAACTGCGTCAGCTCCATTTGCAAACTGCTCTGTGCCGCAGACTCAGTTCTTGCATTGCTATTGTTGCTAACCTGAATTGTCTCAAAACATGGTATGTCGTTCTGGAAACCAATTAATTCGGACTGGGCGCTACTGCCGCCATTGTGGACGGGCGTAAAGACTTCATAGCCAGCGAATGAGGTCTCAAAGGGATCACTAGAGGTATTATTGGTCTTCTCATTGCCAGCCGGCTGTGCGTAATGGCTCTGATTCATGTCGATGATTGTGGAGAGCTCTTCGTTGGATCCATTTGTGGTCGTTGTCTTATTGTCAGTGCTGGCCGCAGTTCCAGACGAGTCCTGCTCTGTGAGTGGCGCATAGTCTGCAGGCGTCAGAAACTCATCCACATGCGGACAAACGGGCGTATAAATGTGCTGGTCCTGCATCTCATTCAATATGCCATTTAGCGTTGTCTCCACATCGTTCATTTCCACCTCCAGTTGCCGCTTCGCTTCGCTGAGCGGTGGCGGAGTGGTGTTAAGCGTTTTATTGCAATGCTCCTGAAATTGAGCAAAAAAGTCGGAGTCGGCGGCCCCATCCGCATTGGGCGCACAGCGCGGTGCCTGAATCTCCATTTCGAAGTCGGTGTCGGACAGAGTTTCTTCTGCCGCCTGGGCGTCTTCTTGTGGCTGTGCCGATGGCGGCGGTGTCTCTGCCACTTGTAATGGGATTGCGGCCAGTTCTTTGTCGTTGTTTGCTTCAATTTGTGCATTTCTGAGTGCTGCAGCAGAATTGAAGCTATCTGCTGTAGCACTCTGGCAAAAATTTTCAGCGTTCTCGTTATTATTAACATCGTCGACATCGACGCCAACATTATCCTTCGGCACGTTGTTAACTCCTTCGGTTGGATGCGCACACAAAGCCCGTTGCTGCTGCTGAGTGAGCGCCTCCAGCGGAATACTGACCATCATCTGATAAGGCTCTTTAAGGCTCTGATCTGGGGCCGACGCCGGCTCTGGCAGTTGTTCCTGTACCTCTGAGACGTTCTCAGCCAACTGCTGTGCTTGCTCGGAGGTGTGAACCTGTGGTTGCTCCTCTGCCTGCTTAGGTTGCTCCTTTAACGTTTCAGGATCATCTAAGGGTTGATTTTGTCCCTGGGGTTGCTCTGAATCCGGGGCAGATTCCTGCAGCTCTGTGACTACCTTTTGTTCTGTTTTTTCATTCGTTGAGGTAACATCCTGCTGCGGCGCCTGAGACTCCTCGGATTGCTGTGGCTCTTGAGGTTGCTTTGTTGGCTGTTGTTGCTCTGTCTGCTCATGCGTGGAGGACACATCCGGTTCCTCCACCGGCACACATGATTGCGCAGAGCTTTGCACATCAACCTCCACCTTAGCCTCCTGCTGGCTGCTTGGTTCTGTCGAAGAGGTGAGCTCCTCGAATTGCAGCTTCGGCTCTAGCCCGGCAGTAGTATCTGTCTGCACTTTAGACTCCTGCAGCGCCTTTCTTTTTAGTAGCATAGCGCGACGGGCATGTTTCGCCGGCATCAATACAGAAGTAGAGCGTCGACGACGGCCGCGCCCCTGCAGTGTTTTGTTAACCAATGCTTTCGGCTTGCTCTTGGGAAATTTGAGGCTGTCCGTTTCGGATGTCGTTGATTTCGAATTGGGCGAGTTGGCATCGCTATCGAAACCTTCGCACTGCTCCACAGACAAGTCGCTTAGGTGCTCGGACGAATTGTTCTCGATCTGGGATCCAACAACTGGCGATGATGAGGTGGACGATGAGCAGGAATCAAAGATCTCCTTGCGAGCCGCTTTTGTCTTCCACGGCACTTTTGAAAATTCACTTTCCATGGGCTCCTCGGACTGCTGTTGTTTCTGCTGCAACCTTGTCGTCGCTTCAGTCTTTGCGGCATTGAGTCGAGTCGGCATTGTGCGCACTTTTCGCAGCTGCAGCTTCATTTTGCGCAATTTGGCCGGCTTCGGCGATGCTGCTGCATCAACATTATCGGCCGAATCTTCAGTCTTGGCATCAGCAACATGGACATCAGCAGGCTCTTGTTGTTGTTGTTGTTGTTGTGCCTGCTTCGCTTCTTCTTCCTGTTGCATGCGACGCTTGCGCTCCATAAGAGTCTCCGGTAAATGCATATAGTCCACACAGTTGTCGAGGGTCAGAGTCGAGTCTTTCTTAGCTGGCGTTAGTTTTGGATTCTTTTGCGTGGGCGGTGTGGCCATTAATTTTTCGGGCAGCTCGGCTGTCACTTCCATATCTTCCTTATAATTTAGCACAATTTTTTGGGTAGCTGGTGGCGGGAATATAAGCCTCATTTCTTTGGCCTCATCGGAAGCTACTGTTGTTGCTTCTGGCGTTTCCATTTTCAATTTCTTGTGCTGCAACTGCTGCTCCTCCTCATCCACAACCTTCGCATCTGCCTGCTCTGGAGTTGACTTCTTGGCTGACATCTTTTGTCGTGCCTTGCGCTCCAAGATATCCTTGGCATAGTCCTTTAGACGCTGCTGCATGCGCACGCAACGCCTTCGAAATTTGGCAACCATCAGGAATTGAGCTTTGCACTGACGACAAATTTCCTGCGGCAATCCGTCGTCACGTTGGATCTGCCCAAAAAAAAAAAAGGAGAAAATATTTCAATAAGAGATGATGAACTCGGAAGACTGTTCTTAAGTATATTTTGTTATCGAAAACATCACTTTTGAAGCGGAAGAAGTGGACTTCCATTCCTTATCAATGGAAAGCAATTCCAAAAGTGAAAGGTAGAGAGAAGAGTAGATCGTTCTCTAAAAGAAGGCGCTTTAGAAACAAAACTTGGCCAAATATGTATATTAATGAAAATATTATAACAATTTAATTGTCTGTATTACTATCTGGATTATGGCTACATTTTGAATATTTCGTCCCAAATCTAGCTCCCAGAATTGTCTTCATATTCAAAGTTTTTGTGTCTATTGTTGTTGCTACTTAAATCGCTCGTTTGGAAAACTACAACTAAATCACATTGTTCGAATCGTTTATATAGCTCTTACCACCTGAATGCGGTGGCGCTCATTGGCCGCATAATTGGCCGTTTGCTTTGCATTTGCATTAATTAAGCGCGGCATTTTGTTAACCGACCATAAAATACATATGCATATACTTATGTACATACAAACCCATGGCACATACATAAATAAATAAGGTGTTTTCTAGACTTGTGCGAATGTACAAATTTTATTCACTTTCGAAATTTGCAACGCCTCTAAGCGTTTTCAATGTCAATTTATATGTGTACATACTTGTATGTATCTAAATACTCGTATGTACATAGATACTTAGGTACGTATGTACGTATGTTATCGAATGAGGAGCTCGTTTTGCGTGTAAAAGTAAAGAAAATCAGTAGTGGGTGACTGGCATGTAAAGCGAACTGCAAATATTTGCAGAGCAATGTTAACTAACAGCAAACGATGTGTGGGCGCTGTTAAGTGCACAGCAGACAGAAGTGTTTGTTTGTATGGGAGGAAGTGTACTTTTGGATCGCATATCAAGGCATGTGGGAAATGAATAAAGAGTAGTACCTGTACCCACGCTCCTCTCTGCAAACAAATATAATGTTTATAAAGTAAAAAGAAACTTCATAAACAATCATTTTACAATTTGATTTCGTTATCTGATATAAAGAGTTAGTTATCTGTGTAACGATGGTTCCTAAAGATATGAATTGTAGTTTATGCATTTATTTGTTTGAAATGAGCTGTCAGTATAGGTATAGGTTGTCATATTAATTGATATACGAAAAAGACAAATTACATTATTATTATCAAAAGATAGCTACGATATGTTGGAGCCAAATTAAAGTTTAAGAAACTACTTAAACAATCAGTAAATAATATGCGAACTTTAATGCATTAATTCCTTATTAAATGTTTAAAGAAAAACGGAAAAAACTCCGACCGGTGGAGAGAGATTTATTACCCAGTGCGAATAACTCTAACGAACAGTCATGTGTGGAGAAAAGTTTTTTTGAGCTGAAAGTTTATTATATTCGGAGCACAAAAATAACAAAAATATTGAGACAAGTTACTATTAAAGGATATCAAGGCTCTTCCATATGGAATTATAAAAAGTTGTTTGGATTTTAAAGAAGTATGTAGAAACAAAATGTATGTCTATTGCAAATAAAGAAACAGACAAACCTTGGTATGTTGGAAAATCTATGAAAGCCCCAAACACTATTGCGTTCCATAATTGTTCAATGAAAAGTCCTTCAACCAAAACTTGTCTGCCGTTTAGGTTGCTGTTTAAATTTAATTTTGTTTATTTCTGAGATTTGAAAAGCTAGAGTTTTGTTTGTTTCTAATTCAAATATTTTACAAGTTGCAAAAAGTTTTCGCAACAATTTGCTGTGTTCTGCTATCTAATCTCACTTTTTTACACAAGTCCACAAGTTAGTCGAAGCTGGCAGAAAATTAAACAGAAGAGCGCAACAGATTTACTTTGAGAAATTGTGTAAATTCAATTATTATTTACACTTTTCTCAGAAAATAAAATGTGTTGTAGAATGCAAATTGTTGAGACTTGAACTTGTAAGAAAGAGAGAGAGAAAAACCCCCAAAATTCCAATGTCACTTGGCAGCCGTTTAATATATGATGCCAAGTGATGACGACGGCAACAACAACAACAACAGTAACAAGAGCAGCAACAAAAATCAGTGCCAACAATCGCAACAACAATGAAACATACAAACAAACTGACGTTGGCGTTACACCAATATACGCGGCAGCTCATTTTGTTGTGTCTAGGTTGTGCAACATTTTTCAAAAACATAATGTGGCTAATTAGTGTTTTTTCTTGAATTTTTTCTTGTGGCGCACGGCCAATTGGCCATTAAGACTACAACAAAATAAAAAAGAAGCGCCAAAGTGTAAATGATAGAAGAAGTGTAGCAGAAGTGCTGTGTGTGCTGCTAAACGCACAGCAGCCAGGTATACTCGTATGGCATTATAAGTTAATTGAGATTAATGCCATAGGCTGGCAGTCAAGCGGCCCAGCAGCCAAGCAGCTCAGCCAATGCCAAATGAAATTTAAAGAATTCATTCATTCTTACTTCCCTGCCCACCGTCTTCAACATTTAAAAAGTTGAATGCAAACTTACCTTTTAGTTGTTGGCAAACAAAAGTCAAAAACACTTTAGTGCAGCAACAAGCTCGTTTCGGCCCACTTCCACAGCCAAGCCAATAAACCGCCGAAAACCAAAACAAATATCAGCCACATAAAAAAAGCAGCACATTTTTTCACACCTTTTGTTGCGCTCGTAAAAGAGACATTCAAGAGTGCTTGTAAGCCTCATGATGGAGTGACAAAAACGAATCCAAGTCAAAGCAAATGCTCACGCAGCTCGAGGGTTAATCAAGTAAGCAAACAAAACAGAGAGCAGCAGCAGCAGCAGCGGCAGCGGCAATTACAACAACATCAGCAACCAGCAACACCAGTTACAATAACAATAACAACAACAGTTCGCAGCTACTGCTGCCTATAACTACCCCAAAAGAGGCTAACAGTCAGCAACACTTAACGCCTTTTGATTGTTTAATTTCTCAAATTGTTTTATGGATTTATCTTGCCGGCAGCTGCCAGACACACATACACGCACATGCACACGCACTCACACACACACGCACACCAATGAAAAATTAATGCGGCCAAACAAGCTGAGCAGAAGAACGTCGAGCTGTGGGGTGCAGGGGAGGACGAGACCGTGTTGCTGCATGGCCAGACCGAGTCCCAGTCCCAGTCGCAGTACCAGACCCAGCTCACACCCACAACAATATCCCGACTACACACCCCACCACACACACACACCACAACACAACAGAACATCAAAAGTGTGTGCTTCATTTTTCACCGCTTTTGACATTTTGGAGCAGGAAAAGTAGTAGCAGCAGCAGCAGCAGCAGAGCAGCAGCCAAAAACAATCAGCCAACCAAAGCACAGTAGACAACTGACAGACAGGCGGGACGGAGCGGCAGGACAGACCGTGGGACTGCAGAACTGCCATCCGGACAGACAGCAAATGCACTGAAAATCCTGCCCAGTTTTCGTGAGTTTAAATTTTTTGGCGAGTCGAAACTTTTGTCAAAAAACGAACCGAAGCCGTCGCGTCGTTTCGAAGCCATTTCCGACAAATGTTGCTCCCATTTCACAATGTAAGCAACAATTGGAACGTTGCTATAGAAATTAACCATTGAGTGGCAGTTATTGACGGCACAATCAAAACATATTTGAGAATGAAAATGTTATAGTTATGGACATGGACATGGGAACAACGCTTTCAATTTCAATTCACACACACACACACACTGTAAAAGCTTTTTATTAGAACTTTTTTGATGAAAAAAAAGTTCCCAAATAGATTAGATTATTAAGTAAATAAAAAAAAAACAAACCATGTGTAACAATAAAGGATTTTTTCGATTTGTTGAAAACATTACAATATAGTAATTGAAGAACTGATATCATATTTTGCTTAAAAGATTCCCTGGTTCAATGAATAATTCAGAAAATAACGCTTTTTTTTAATAAGACTGGTTTTTTACCTATTTTGAGAATAACTTTCCAGTTTTAATTCTAAAATGGATTCTTTAAACAAAAATTGTATACTTCTTTAACAAGACTGGTTTTAAACACAATCTCAAGAATAACTTTCCAGCTTAAGTTCCAAAATGAATTATTCATAAAAAAAGTGTTTATGCAACCCAGAGAGTGTTTGTTTTCATAAACAACATCGTTTTGTTTATAATATTGTTTACTTATATTATCAGGTACTTTTAATTATCTTTTTTTATTATCTAAATAGAGAGTCACAAAACGTCTGATTAAAAAATTATATGACACGAACATTTTTGCTTTCAAAATACTTGAAAAACATAATAATTTTAAATAAAGTCTACTAATATTATGCTCTGATAGGAAATACATGTCAATTCTATAATAAAGCTAGGGTTATGTGATGAAAAAGTTATCTATATAATCTACATCTCATTATTTTTAATTATTTTCTAAGGATTTCAGATTTTAGAAAAAAAAAAGTTAATCAGTTTTTACGTCACTTTTTTAACTGCACAATTGGCTTTTAATTTAGAATGCCCCAGAGTCAGTCTAATGTGTTTTTTTTTTAAGTGTACAGTGTTATGGGCGCTGGCTGGTTACCCCCTGGGCGAGGGCGTGTATAACTTTTGGGCTTTGTCGACTGTGACGCGTGCTAATCCCCCACTGACACTACGGCGCTGTGCGCATATTCCAATCAAATTAAGTAGAAAGGTTCTGCAGGACACTGATGGTTGGTTCGGCTGGTTAGGCTTCAAAATGTGCGCTACACGCGCCAAAAGAGACGAGGGAGAAATAACCTTGAAGTTTTGAGTGTGTGATTTGTGAATAAATTTGATTGGAAAAAGGCCTGGCCCCATGCCTTGAACCGAAATGTTAGCTTTGTTGTGAAATAGATAAGACTTATCACGAGATGAATTCAATAGTGGCGGATGATCGTGAAAAGTCACCTGTTGCCAAGAGGCTCTGTTCTCAGTGTTTATGTAATGATGTGGAAAATTAAAAACAACTTAA